TTCCAAACTTTGTTTGAGGCAATTTTTCCACTATTTTGAAAATTTTTGGTGGTTTTTCAAAAATTTGATTATTAAAAAAATCGTAGTAGATTTGCGGTGACAGTAGATGTATTTTAGAATACAATTACACTTACAGTTATCATTTTGCAACTAAAATTTGAGCTTTTTAAACTTTTTTGCTCATTTTTTGACCCTTATACGTTTTTGATCAAAACCGATTCTGTTTTCATTTTTGGAGCCATTTGCAGGCTAAAATACGCTTTCATTAAAGTACACTTTCCTTGATCAAAACGGCATCATAACTGTTTGCAGGGTCAGTAAATTGTAGATTGCGCTTGGTGACCCTTGTTTGATGTTCTAAATCATCATTTGTCCTGCTTTACTAACGATTTCCCCCTCTTTCCTCATGTATATCCCCATAAAAAATAATCTTGACAACATCCTCATTTCCAACCTTTTGTATCAGTTATTATAACATTGTTTTCAATCTGAGAGTGCATTGAGAAAATTTGTGAATTTATGAAATGGGTTTACTCCATCATTCGCGGAACTTTTCTCTGTTTTTACGAGCCATTCGGCGTAGGAAATGAATGTTCGTTTGTTTGGAATGCACCTATAAAAGTGTTAATTACGTGATGCATGGGGATGTCAGTTTAATTGAGGGTTTCGTTTAACCTTCACCAAATAGCAGGTTGAAGAAGAAGATGATGAATTCTCTTGTTTCTTTGTGTCCATAGAATTCCTTTTGCTTAATTAAAACCTCAGAGATACAACAGCTTCTTTCAATAGTGTTTTTTTATCCCGAATTTTCAAGAATCTTTTACTAAAAAATCCCAAATTCGTCTCACAATAATTTGTCAGCCTTAGGACCCATTTTAATCTGCAATAGAACATTTTCAGTTAAAAATTCAGATATCACTTTACATGAACAATCACTTCCGTTGATGGCTTCGTTTCGCGGATTCGTCAAGCCTCTTGCTCATTCTTTTTCGTCTTCTACGTCATCAGTTTCTGATCTGTGAGCAGATTGTGGGATTTTAAGTCTAAAAAGTCTTGAACCTTCCAGACCAATAAACTGGATTATGTCCAGAGGTCGTTAACTTTGGTTCTACAGCAGCTTACTTCATTTTTTTCGTTTTTGGGTTACTTGAAGCTGGCATAAAATTTGAAGACCATGCTTGCAACAGAATGCCAAGATCAAGTCTGTAAGTCTCGTTTGAGCTTTAAATCTCTTTTAATTTTTCAACGCGCTAGCTAAAATTTCCGAATATGCCTTAGAAGATCTTAATTTCAAATTTGATTCCAGTATTTGCCAAAATTCAAACTATCTTATATTATAGTAATCTCAAACAAATTAAATTTAGTTTTCCATTCCCCTCAAGTTCAAAAATTTACAATTTGATTCTCAGAACTTGGACAAACAGTTTTTTTATTTTTAACCGCAAATAATGGCCGAGCTTCCAATAGGTCTAAACGCCTGTGCAAATTTTTTTTTGAAACCTTGAATTTTTTTTGAGCTGACTTGGGAAACGGTCTATTCGCATTTTTTTCAAATATTTATTTTAATTTTTATGTGGCTGATTTGTGATTGTTGCGATTAAATTTTAACGATGCTCAAAATTTTATGAATTGACTCCAGACATACGACATGTTCAGAAATTTAATCTTTTTCTTTTTGATCCGATTGATCCCTATTTTACAACGAAATTAGTGATCATGGGCATGATTGAATGTTTGGGAAAGCGACGTGGAAATATAATACTGCAAAAAACTATATGTTCGACTTACCTTTGCATATCATATTTGGTATTAAACAAAAATGGGGACGTCTGAGGATTCAGGGAAAAAAGAATTTTAAAATTTAGCCCGAAATTAAAGAAATTATAGCCAATTCAAATCGGGCCACAAAATTGGTACACCTGTATATAGTTAGGGAATTTATCCTCAACTTTTGGCCCCAGTTTACAATGATGGACTTGATCCAGTGCCAAAAAAACGTACCATTTTGCATCCGGGGAGTATCAAAAAATGTGGCAAAATGCCTCCCTCTCCAAGTGAAAAAACTCCGTTTTCAAGGGTTCCTTCACAAAGAGAGCGGGCGCGCTTTTGAAATCGGAGTTTTTTTCCTTGCAGATGGGGTATTTTGCCACATTTTCTGATACTTCCCTGATGCGAAATAATGCGTTTTTTCCCACTGGATAAGCTCGGCCAATGTACTTTCTGCAACAGAGCGAAATTCGCAATTCCCAGCCCTCATTATTTATGGTTGTGTGTTAAACTAGCGCCTCCCGAGAACCCGTTGATCGTCAGGGGAAGCCCGGCGGGTTTAAAAAATCCGCCCGTCACAGAGTGCGTCTCGTGCTTCTCTTATCATTCCATTTAGTGGCGATTCTTCTCCACTTCTTCTCAGATTTCGCCGTCTATTTGTATTCCCTACAAACAAAGATGTAATATAGGGTGGAGCCCGGGGTTAATTTTGGCTCTTCTATTGTATTTTGAGGGCCTCTTGGAGGTTGTAATTGTACTCGGTTTGAGGGTTGTTTCCATTTCGAATTCTACGGCGATTTTTTCGGCTTTTTAGGGATTGATTGCTTGGTAAATAGGGTAAAATACGGGGTTAAAAAGGCTAGGTTTACTAGGTTATTGGTATTTTTTTAACTCGCTTTTTTAGACTGCGAGCACTTTGACGTATTTTACCCCCCTATTTTTCGCATTCCCCTCGTGCCTACCTGCTCCACTGACCGGTCATTTCGAGGTCGGCGGCCTTGAAGAGCCGTTAGCGCTTTTTCCAGCGCGTTATATTTTCGAAAAGCAGACGTATCAGCAGCCCCCCTTCTCTCTTATCGAATCAATCGCTCAGTTCCGTTTTTTGTCTCAAATACTTTTGTCTGCCCACCCGTCCGTTTTTATTGTCTTGTTTTGTTGTGATCGACGTTTTATACGAGGAAAGGTGTTTCTTGGGGTTTAGTTTTTTAATAGATTATTTTTAATAGTAATATTTTTTTCTTCACTATATATTAATGGTTTAGCCAGCTCGACAATTATTTTTACTTAGGGTACCATTTTATACGATGGAACCTGTGTTTTCGACAAAACTTTATTTCGAATTTTTTGACGGAAATTGCTCGAAATTCGTGGAAAATCAATCTTGCCCCGACCTTTGGGCTTACTGTACAATCTCTGGGCCATACTCACGCTACTCTAATCCCCCCAGAATCCCCCCACTCTCCCTCATCTCTTCCTCAAAGCGCATTGGGCGGATTATCTCCTTCCACAAACACGTAGGGATGTATGCCCATTTATAATATTATTTTAAATATGGCATGTATTGACTGTGCTAATCACCTGTCAGTTCGTCTTCAACACATTAGTTGGCCGGCGTTTTGGAGACTTGTTGGGATTATGGGGGGAACTGTAATGTGTTGATGTTTACTGTTGCGAAATTTGGTATTTGAATGCAATCTTAATTGGGTTTGGAAACCTCTTAAGTATTTATGAAATTTAACAGGTTTTTGGTCAGTTACTGTAGGCAGGAAAAAGGTTTCAGACATTTCTTTTTTTAGTTCTTTCTTTGGATTCATACTATTGTAAACAGTCGTATAGAAGCTCTTTTTTTGTAGTATGCCTTATAAAATAACTTCTAAATACCTTAAAATATCATAGTTTAACCTTTTCCGGAGAAGTGACATTTTATACGATGAAACATGCCTGATAACTTCTGGCATTTTTCATCGTATAAAATGGTCTTTTTAAAAGGAATCACGCTTAAGGTTTTTAAAAATTTTAAGTGGGCCGTTTCCTATCATTTTCCGAGAGGCGACATTTTATACGGTGAAACATTTTTTAAGCCCTCGAAACACATTTCATCGTATGAAATCACCCCCTTGCGCCATTGTAATAAATAAAAATAAGGTTTGTGTTATGATTTCAAAAATCGGAAATTGCAATCGAGTTTTTTCGTCGTTTGATCCTTTATTGGAAATTCTTCATTCGTCTTCATGATGGATTTGAAATTGCGCATCGGGAACGGTTAGACATAAAAAATGCTTTGCTGGCGAAACTGGGATGACTTTGGGTTTTTATGAATTTGATCTTTAGAGTGTAATATGGAGAGTGGGACATTTCATACGGCGAAAAGTGCTTGATAAGTTTAAGAGACATGATTGATCATGCAAGTTGATTAAAACCTTATAGCAGGACGCTTTTAGCGCGTATTTTGCATTCATATTTTCTTGTTTTGACTACTGAGCGACATTTTATACGATGAAAACCAATATTTTTACCGTATCCTCTAGAAACGTTTGATCGTATAAAATGTCGCCAAACCCTAAAATCAACCCCAAAGCCTTCTAAGGCTTTTAAAAATTGACGTATTTCACAACTACGTGACTTTGCTCTCTCGGTTTGGTTAGTGATAATCAGTTTTTTCTCAGCTCATCATATGTGTGTCTGTTTTTCGTGTTGATAACAAACCAGAACACGTAATGCACTTTAATTGGAATCGAACCTTTTTGAAAACCACCCATACTTTGGTTCTTCGTCTAGCATTGCGATTCCGTGTTTACGGACACCCGCAGTAAATTATGCGGAATTTCTGTTGTTTGGAGGGCTCTTTTGATGTGTGATTTTAATGCGTTTTTTATTTTCTGATCATGGGGAATGTGTGTCTTCACAAGTTCCGAGTTTTATTATTTTACTTTTTGTAACAGCCGCAGGGGCTTAGATTTGCTTTTTCGGTTGCGGTTTTTGAACTTTATCTCATCTCTTTTGCAGAAACCATGAACGATGTGTTAATGGCGTATTTTAAAATTTTTACTTTGGCTTTTTTCCGAAATTTCTCGTGGTTTATTTCCAAGGAATTTCGATGACATTAGCATTAATTTCACCGTATTTTAGGTGCTTTCTCCTTCCTTTTTCCCCACCCATTTTTTCCCCCGAAGCACCCCCAACCCGTCGACGTAATTCATCGACGAAAGCCGCCGTTCAGCAACGCCTCCAAGATGGCGTCGTCGGCCAAGATTGACTTGTGCCGTCCGTCATCGGGTCAGCCGCAGAACGGCTGTCTCAGCGACCTGCCCTCCACCTCGACCGGGATCCGGCCCGTGAAGCCGGAGATCGTCAAGTCCGAAGGAAGCGACGATGAGAAGGCGCCCACGCTACACAGGGAAACCGACCTCAACTACGACTCGGACTCGCCCAAGAAGTCGCCGCTGACTTTGGTAGGGATTTGAGGTTGCATTTTTTTCGATTTTTAGACTTATACGGACATACGGACATTTTATACGATAAAAATTCTGTTGCCATTTTAAACCTTATAAACTGCTGCTATATCAAAGAAAATCCGCCGGTTAACATTGTTAATCATCCTTTTTTCAAATAATAATCTCATTTTGAGATATTACAAAATATCAGACAAGTTATACGACCAAAGTTTTCTCAAGGCATCCTCATAAAACATGCCTACAAATATAACAAATATGGCTAAAGTCCCCTTTATCACACTCTATGTTTGCCTTATTTGCAGAAGCCCGATCCAGACCGTCCCTCGTCCTCCTCAAACTACTCAGATTTGCATCCGGAAGAGTACAACAACAGAGAGTGGAACATTGAAAAAATTCAATACAACACCAGTGCGGCCTATAATTCGGTGACTTCGCGGCTAACCGACTCTTTGTCATCCAATCTATACGATCCGAAGAAACAGAAGACCGGCTGGGCGTATTACACTAGAGATCGGGAGGAATTCCGATGTTTCAGCGATGAGAATCGAACGTTCTACCGGATTGGGGACTACGTTTATCTCGAAATGGATGTCTCCAGTCCTTATGTTATCGGGAAAATAGACAGTTTCAAAATGGTAAGGGGACATTTTATACGATGAAATTAGTAAAAAGCATAAGGGTTTTTTTGCATCTCTAATGTATGTGTTTCAGAGAAAGACTAGTTCCAAAAACACCCTTCAAGTACGTTGCACAAAGTTCTTTCGTCGCGATGAGCTCGTCCCTGATGCGATTTCGCTACTTGACTCGGAAAGAGTTGATGCCGGAGTTGTGGAGAACAATTCAGATGTCAAAGCCCGTGAACTTTTCCCGTCCGAATCTCAGGTCACTGCTCAAGTGGGATGTCTTCGGTAAGGCCAGCCCATGATTTTGCTGATTTTTTCCGATCAGGACATTTTATACGATAAAACATATTTTATCGTATAAAATGTCGCTTTCTTCAAAATTAAGTTCGACTAACCAAGAATCATCATTTCAGAGGCCTATGCAACGTATTGGATAAAAGTGTACAGTACATGCTAGAGAATGGCATCGAAGGAAAGGACACTTTCTTCTACTGTATGTCGTATACCTCGGAAACGGGACGGATAGCAATGTTTCACCCCGAAATTAGGATTGGCAAAAATCATCAGGTGAGACGGCCCGCTAATCCCGACTCTCAGCCATTCAGATAATCCGGATTTTAACGTTTTTTTTGAATTTTTAACTTTCCCGCCAAAATTGGCATTCTGTTTCAAGCTGTAATTGTGGTCAAATTTCAGGCGGAAATCCCGAACTGTTTGTCAACAACTACGAATAAAGTGAAAGCGCATGACAAAGATCGAGAGCAGCTGCTTTTCGAGCCAGGACGGGTATCCGAAGAGACGGAGAACTTGTTCGTTGAAAATGTGAAGAACTATCGAAGAACGGCCGCTGAAAACTGCCCCAAAATGAATGAGCTGGAGAAGAAGGCGTTTCTGGGTGATAGAGTTCGCAATGACGCCTGTGAAGTGGTGAGTTTTGCAATAGAAACATCAAAAATGCAAAATACCCCCAATTTATACGATGACATACGTTAAGCCGACGTTTTGGCGAAATTAGATAATCCTAAGCGACATTTGGTGATTGAGTAAACCGTGTATCGTATTTCAGCTGCACCGCTGCAACTATGATGCCAGAGAGGCGATAAAAAAGGCCATGGAAGAGGATAAAATCTACCTTGAAAACAAGACTTTCATGTCATCAGAGGACTGTAAAAAATTTGTCAAAGGTCTCAGGAACTATGGAAAGAACTTTCACAAAATCGCTAAAGAATCATTTGGGACTAGTTTCGGCCGCGTAAGTTCAATTTTTATTCACTAGTCGACATTTTATACGATGAAATATGTTTTGCTTACCAACCATGTTTTGTCGTATAAAATGGTATGTAAGGGAAAAATTAAATAATTTATGATCCTAACTGCGGCTGTAGTGATTTTCATACCACAGCGAATTTTATACGATCAAATGTGTTCATCTTAAAACATGTTTGATCGTATAAAAATTCGCCGCCGACTCGCCGAACTCTCCGTTTGCTAGTAGTCCGCTTTGTAATCTACTTAAAACTCGCGGCACTTTTTTTTTGTTTGCTTTGTTTGCGACCCGATAAAGCGCTCGCTTCACGTGAAGCCGGAGTTCACGTGATCCAGCCGATAAGTCGCCAAGCAAAGTTCGACGTCCGTTTTATGTTATTTTCGTCGCGGGGTTTTGTCTTGTTGTCGGGCGAGCGGTGCGGCATGGGAATTATTAAATTCCTGGAAATTTAAATTTCAAACATTGCCCTGCTGATCGCTTATCAGCCGATAAGATCGTGCGTCTGCAGCCGGGCCCTTAAGCAAATCTTCGGTCGAGAATTTCTTTTTCGTCGAAAAATCTCGCTTTCCTACGGCGTTTTACGTTTTGTTTGCGAAGTCTCACGTTTTTCGTCCATAATTCGGACTTTATGGAGATGGACGTCAATCTATTTTAAAGGTGGCAGTATGCCTCATAGACTGAGTTGTGGCTACACTTTTTGTAGTCGACTCCAAATTCGTCAACTTCAGTTTGCAGCCGCAAAATTTTATACAATTTGTATGAAATTTAGGCCCTCATTCATAAAATTTACGTTTTTTTTGCATAAACTCATTTTTATGCCCAAAAACGTGCGATTTCGAAAGAAAAAATGATTCCTGGGACTCTCAGCTTGCTGACTGTTTATTTGCGTATCCCAAACATGTGTTTTTCGACGTTTTCCTGCATAAGAAATGACGTTTCCGGTGCCTAAACCGCACTCGCGGTGTAATAGCCGGGTGTTTTGTAATTTTCGCGAGACCTGCGTCACGTGGAAGTGGTCAAAGTTCGCGAAATGACTTTCTTTTTTTCTCTGGGACGTCCTTATCAGACCGCCGTATTGCATGAGTGAATGGGGCCTCAAAAATTTATATTTGCGCTCATGGTAACAAATATCACTTACCGTGACATTTGCTACCGTAATATCAGCCTGAGTCAGCATTATTATGCAGATCTCGAAACGCCACGTAGTCAGGCGCTTACTCCGAATTGGGATCGTCGTTTTTTCCTTGTAATGTAAACAAGTTTTTTTGGAGGGGAAACCCGAATTTGTATTAAAAAATTAATTTTTTTTCGAAAAATTGTAGCCACTAGGGTTGCAAATGAAAATTAATCTCCAAACTACATCTCTCCGTATCTGAATTTACAATTTTATAAGAAAATATCCCACGCTACATGTTACAATATAGCTATTTTGTTGTCGTTTTTTAAACGCTTTGATGCATAATTCCGTCGTTTTTTTGCAGGGAGAGCTCGTCCATTACTACTATTGTTGGAAAAAAGGTCCGGAAGCCTTCAAGCCGAAGAATCCGACGCGCAACAAGTCCATCTACCCGCAGACGAAACGCACGACCCGCAACGGCACCGCAACTCCCACACCCTCCGACCTCATCGACTATGACTCGCTGAGTGAGGACGAGGAGTGCGACTTACACCGAGCTTGTCATCATTGTTACTCCAGCGGTGAGTATTTCGAATTTCTCTGTTCGAAATTTAGGACGACTACGCAAATTGGCCGAAATATCGCCCGACAAACATTTGTTTGTTGTAATTCGGGGGAAATGCCGGGACCAAATTTCTTTATCGCTTTTGTCGCAAGTCGTGTACAATTTACAACGAAGCCGAAATTTCAAAATTTGCCGCAATTAGTCACGCAAAGGTTGGGAAGTTTTCGGCGTATAAAATGTCGTCCGCAGGTGTAGTCGGAGGGTGTAAAGTATGAAACCATTAGAGTGCATCCAAGAGTTTCCTGTTTTGATAACATTATCTTGCGGGGTCGGAGATAGGCGCCGCAGGGTGCAGTCAAAGCGTTTTTTCTTCACCTCTAGTCGATCTGGTATAATATGGGGGGAAAAAGTGTTCTTTTTGCGTTGGAAGTCACGTAATACGAGGTCACAAAGTCTACTGGATATTCTTGCTGGATGATTTTGTTACAATCCACCACCTATTTTGCTATAGTACCCTTGAAATTTCAGAAAGCCGCGACTGGCACCACTCCGGCCAGGACCGACAGCTCTTGTGCACCGGCTGTCGGCACCATTTCAAAAAGTACGGGAATATGCGACATGTCGAGAACAAGCCCGACAGGCCCCCAGCGGCGTTGTGTCGGGAACAGACACCGACCTCGAACGAGGACGGAGAAGATGGAGGAGTTCGGACGAGATCAACAAGATCGAATCGCCATCGAACGCCGTGTGACGACAGAGCGGGAAGAAGTGTGGAATCGGAGCCGGAGAGACGGTCAACCCCACAGAGGAGCGTTAAAGTTCGGAAACGGAGCTATCATGTGTCTACGGGAAGTGGAGAGGATGTAAGTCGAAAAGAACTTGGACTAGAGGCATTAGTCATCAAATTCCTTTCTCATTTTGGGCGCGGCGTGTCTTCGAATCAAAAATGTAGTGATTTTGAAAAACGAAAACCTTACTCTCGACCCGACTCAACCCAATATCCATTTTCAGAGCCATTCCAACCTGAACAGCCCTCGAAAAAAGGAAAAGGAAGTCAAGAAGACTGATAAGAAGGAGAAAGACGTCGCAGATCTCCCTCCAATCCTTGAGAACGAAGCTAAACGGGATCAAGAGCTTCGAGAAACGTCATCATCAAGGACCTCATCCTACGATGGTGAGAATGGAACACCGTCCAAGAAACGAACCGATAAATCGAGCCCCCCTCCCGAACCAAATGCTCGAGACTCCAAGGAACCCGAGGTCCCGCAAGAACCCAAACCGGAGATTAGTGAAAATGGGTAAGGAATTCGAGACCGTTAGCTGTTTTGATGTTTAGTAGACAACATGAGATGTGATGAGCGACATGTTATACGATGAAACATATGAAGACATGTTTCATCATATAATATGTCAGATAGGACGTTTCATGACTAAAGCCTAATTTTTAGCGATCTTGACGAAGACAAATTCGAATGGGAGCCCCCAGTAAACGAATGGAAGTTCAAGAACATGGAGAACTGCAAGCTAAAACGGAATGTCGAGATCACCGATCAGAGTCAGGACTCCTGCGCGCGAACCCAGATCATTCTCGAGATTTATGCCGAGACGAACTGGCAGAAACGGCATAAAGAACGTGCGGAAGCGCGTGCTCAACAACAAAAACAAAAAGCCGAAGAGATCAAGGCCCAACAAGCGGCAACCAGCCAAGCCCAAAATTCATTGGCTGGACTGGCGTCGTTGGCCAACAATGCGGGCGGAATGAATCGTCCTTTAGGGAGTATGCCTAATACGACGAATGGTTTGCATGGTAAGCCCAATTATCCGATTACTTTTGGTCTGGAGACATTTTATACGACTGAAAATATGAAAAAAATTCAACCTTTTTTCATTGTACAGGGTGTCCAGAGAAATGTGCCGGAAAGTGTTCGTCGATTTCTTGGCGCTCAGTCAAGATATCAAAAAAATTTTTTTTTCAGGAGAAAGAAGGTTATGGGCGGTTTTTTCTCCAAAAAGATGATTTTCTCCGCCGACGCGGAAAGTGGTGTATTCGGCGGAGCCTTTTGATGTCTTTTTTGGTCATCACACTAATCTTAAAAGCGTTTTTGTGAATTTTGATGGTTGGAATGAGGATTTTTGTTTATTTTAATGTTTTTCAAGCATTCGGCGGAGGTATGGCGGACGCTTGCCATATCGGCGGAGGCCATAACTCGGCTTCGGAAAAAGATACAGAACTGGAAAATGGCTCAAAACGATCCGTATGCTTCGCTTTACATTCCCTGCTCAGACCGTACGAAAATCAAAGCCTTTTTTTGAGTCTGGCGGAGGAATCGGCGGAGGCTATAACTCGGCTTCGGAAAAAGACACAGAGCTGGAAAATGGCTCAAAACGATCCGTATGCTTCGCTTTGCATTCCCTGCTCAGTCCGTACGGCCGGCGACAGAGCGATGCGATTGCATTCGGCGACTGCACGGTGCAGTTTGTCGCTGCGACACAAATAACTTTCGAGCGCACTGTGCGGAGCTTGGAAACAGAAGGAAAAGAAGAAATGTGGTCTAAAAATTTTTTTGTTGTTTTTTGGTGCACCAAGTCATTTGCCGTTCACTCAGTTTCTGCCAAACCTTGGCCACAAAATTTTTGAAAACAAAAGAAATGAGCAGTGAATGTAAAGCGAAGCATACGGATCGTTTTGAGCCATTTTCCAATTCTGTATCTTTTTCCGAAGCCGAGTTATGGCCTCCGCCGATATGGCAAGCGTCCGCCATACCTCCGCCGAATGCTTGAAAAACATTAAAATAAACAAAAATCCTCATTCCAACCATCAAAATTCACAAAAACGCTTTTAAGATTAGTGTGATGACCAAAAAAGACATCAAAAGGCTCCGGCGAATACACCACTTTCCGCGTCGGCGGAGAAAATCATCTTTTTGGAGAAAAAACCGCCCATAACCTTCTTTCTCCTGAAAAAAAAATTTTTTTGATATCTTGACTGAGCGCCAAGAAATCGACGAACACTTTCCGGCACATTTCTCTGGACACCCTGTATAAAATGTCACCCAATGATTTAGTGTATATAACTAGTTGCTTAAGACCCCCTGTTCATGGAATTATTATTTCTAGGCATGACCCTCTCAAGTCAGGCTCCAATGTCGATACCTCCAACATTACCCATCCCAAGTATCCTCAACAACGGCTCTGGCGGCGGAATTATGCAGACAGGCCAAGGAATTGTACATATACCACGGCTCCCTCCTCCGGATATACTCCAACAACAATTTCGGGTGAGTTTTGGCGACTACGTCGTAACTTCCGCACCTTATTATACAGTAAGAACAGCACCATAGGAGTCGTATCACATTTCCGACTATTCGACGCTAAACTTATTTAGTTTCAGCCCGGCGCACCTGTCAATGGTCCCAGACCGCCAAACCTTAATGATCTGATCATCGCTCAACACCACATTCAACAGCAACAACTTCAGCGACAGTGGGCAGCATTAACCGGAGGATTCCAGCCCAATTCCGGCTTGATGAACCCCGGAATCCCCATGGGATTATCGATAAACCCTGCCGCGTTGGCCGGAAATCCACAACTTTATCAACAGCTCCAACAGCAAGCCGCCATTCAGCAAAATCAACGGAATAATCAGATCTTCGAGCAGATGCGGGAAATGGAGGAGAGAAAACGGCGGGAGATCGAGCAACAACAACAAAGAGAGCGGGAACAGCGAGAGCAAAGGGAACGCCAAGAAAGAGAGCAAAGAGAACGGCAGTTGCAACAACAACAGGCCGCACAACAACAAGCACAGCAACAACAGAACCAACAACAACAGGAGCTGATGAACCAATTGCTTTTGGGTAAGAGAAGAGCTATCTTCTTTTAGAATGGAGTTTGGGAGCTTGAACATCTAATAGAATGGAGTTTGGAAGCTTGCTGGACCTCATTCCGTAGTATTGAGCCTATTTCTGAGTAAAACTTCCCATGGATAATATTAGAATTTAAACAAGTCACAAACAAATTTTTTTGAAGCCGTTTGAGCCTAAAATAATACATACTTGCTAGAACCCATGGAAACGTGCCATTTTGTTCTTTATTTTAGCATCCATCTTCATAGCTAGCTGCAATTTCCTCCATTCTCTTTCTTAGCTACCTAAAAATCAAAAAAATATATCTAAACCACTTACTTTTCTCATTTTTCAGCCGGAATGAACCCTCAAATGTTGCTCAATCTCCAAATCCAACAGAACATGATGAATGCTCAAGCCCTTCAGGCCAATCCTCTCGCCTCGTTGGCCACCTCGATGCCTTCCGCCTCTCAAAGCAACCAAATCAACGCTCAACAGTTGGAGGCGATAATGCGAGCGCATCAACCTCAGAACCAATCGGGAATGCCGGGCCTGAATCCGCAGATGGCGGCTCTTCTGACGGCGCAACAAACTCCTCAACGGCCTACCTCGAACCAGCAGCCGACGCCGCAAGGCACTCCTCATCAGCCGCCGCGAACCACTCCAACCGGTCCGTTGGCGGGCCTCACCCAGATGGCCAACCTGGCCGGACTCCCCGCCCAACAGATGCAGGGGATCGCGGCAAGTCAGGCCAACCTGGCCGCCATGCAGAACGCTCCGCAGGACGTTCAAATGATGCTGCTTCAGCAGCTGCTGAATCAGCGTCCCGGTCAGAACGGACTGGGCCAGAAATGAGTCCACAAATGGTTCTAACACAATACGGGTCCGACACAAAACTTCATGAATACGGTGCATTTTTGTACAAATTCCAAGAATTGGCATTTATTTCCGTGAGAAAGCGACATTTTATACGATGAAAGCTGTTTCCCTACATTTCATCCTATAACTTGTCGCGATCACTGAATTAGTTTTTATTGTAAAATTTTTAGAGATAGTTAAGAATTTTTGAATGCCATTACTCATCCAGGTATATCTTATATTATACATACGCCTTCAAATTTGAACCTCCATCAAAATTGTTTGTTTCTTCGTGTGAAATACGGGCAAGATTTCGACGGTTTCAACTCAGTGTTGTACATAACTACATAGTCTGTCTTTTTGTTGAGGTGATGACGAATTTTCGGAGGATGGCGACATTTTATACTATGAAAAATGCCTGAAAAATTTTTTGGTTTTTCTACAGGTTTCATCGTATAAAATGGTACCATCTGCGACCAAAATGTAACTTCGACGTTTTTGTAGTGAAATACGGATCTATAAAGTTTCAGTTTAATTTTTTTTAATACAGACAACCCTTTTTCGATCAATACATCTTTTATCGTATAAAATGTCCCCCAAAAAATAAGTCATTACCTCAACGAATGTCTTTTTTATCTCGAGGAAAATCAAATTTTTACTTTCAATCTAACAAATCAAAAGCCAAACAGGTTCCAACTCTGCTTTCTCTGCAAACATTCAGCTGTAAAATTACACTTGAAAATGTAAAACTTGTAATATTTTTTTCACGACAATAACCTTCCATGTTAATTAATAATTTGTAATATAGCCGTTATACACATTTACAACGATCGTTTGCATTGTTACATCCATATTATATTGCTCAAAGAGTTCTCCGTGTAACTAAATTTATTGTTTTTTACTCCGTTATTATTAAGTTTGTGTGGAAATAAATTGTGAAAGAATTTAGTTTACGGCTATTTCTTGCATTACACTTGTGAAAAAAGAGGGGATTTGATGACATTATAAAACAATGTAGTTATTGATGAGGGACCCCAAGGATGTCGGTTCGCAAGACTTGGCACGGTGACTTCTGAAAGAAAATCAAGCACTTAGGCCCTGCAGATCCATTCCAGTCCAACTAGTTGCTTCGTTTGGCCAGGCGGACGTTTTATACGAAGAAACACGTTTTATCGTATAACTTGTCGCCTAGGCTCAATCCATAACAACTCGGAGTACAAAATATGTTAGAAGCCTATTTCTAGCTCAGCCGAGTAAATGCGCCACACTAATCGTTACTAGTGCCATTTTATACGATGAATCATGTCCCACCGTGATTCGTTGTGTAAACTTGCACTGACTGTGTAAACGCCAGTAAGAGAAAAAAATTGATGATTTTGCAGAAATTTGCAGCCAAAGAAATGAGGTTCCACAATAGCAGCACTTTCGAGACTCAAGATGCCATTCGTTATACCGTACTGTAGCAACATTAGTCATCGCAAATATGATGACAATTACTTTGTATCATACAGTAGCTGCCAAAAAACTGTCAATTTTTTTGTTTTTTGTGTAACTCTGCCCAACGTGGACGGATTTCAACGAAACAAATACCATTCTGTAGAGAATTACTGCTGTTATCTAATGGAGTAGCGGTTGGATCGATTTTACATCTTAGTGTGTAACAACTGTCGATGTAAAATTTTTGGAAAGACAAAAAACTGTCAATTTTTCCAAAAAAATTTTACCGCTTGCATACGTCGCGGCAAATCATGGGCTTATACATTTCGATCTTTAAATAAAGTCCCACTGTACATAATTAACCATCAAAGGGAGCCAAGAAAGTTAATTTAGTAGACCTTTTGGTGGTCCCAAGTTCGATACCCCAAAACATGACGTTTAAGAAAAAATCGATTTTTTTCTTTGACTTAGCATTAATGCAATACCTTGCAGTAGAAGCTAGGCAACCTACAATTAAAATAGAGCAATGATTGGGAGCCTAAATGTAATTCTACGGACTCCACTTGACATTCAAGTTTTTCTGGCAGTAGATGTACCGTGGAACTTCAGCCCGGGTGCTTCCGTAGACACCTCTAATCGTAGTTCCAACGCGACAGAAGACACCCATGTTAACAGTGAACAGTTTAGAACCGCTACCGCACCAGGCCCGTACTTTGCGCGTAAAAGAACAAGCTCCTAAATGGAATTTTTGAAGAAAAATTGTTGTCTCGATTTTCACTCTCCATAGGATGGAAATAACCCAGCGCAAGGACAAGCAAGATGTTGTCCCATACACTTACAGCCATTCCTGACATTTCTAACGCAATTTCACGCCCTCTAACGTGTTTCTAAAGTCTTAAGCTGGCTTGCAACTTTCCACAAAAAATTTTTTTGGGCAATGACAACATAACCCTCCGTAATTCTTACGTGACTTGCATCGCCGTCCTACAAATGCCCATAAAATGCTTCTAGAACATCTGTGATCATGTATTGATAAAACATTAGCAAGTTGTTACAAAGGCGGGGGGCAACAAGGCCAAGTCTCTACAGAAACTCGATTACCGGAGAAACTTGAATGTCAAGTCGAGTCCGTAGACTTACATTTAGGCTCCCAATCATTGTTATATTTTAATTGTAGGCTGTCTAGCTTCTACTGCAAGGCATTGCATTAATGCTAAGTCAAAGAAAAAAATCGATTTTTTCTTAAACGTCATGTTTTGGGGTATCGAACTTGGGACCACCAAAAGGTCTACTAAATTAACTTTCTTGGCTCCTTTTGATGGTTAATTATGTACAGTGGGACTTTATTTAAAGATCGAAATGTATAAGCCCATGATTTGCCGCGACGTATGCAAGCGGTAAAATTTTTTTGGAAAAATTGACAGTTTTTTGTCTTTCCAAAAATTTTACATCGACAGTTGTTACACACTAAGATGTAAAATCGTTCCAACCACTACACCATTAGATAACAGCAGTAATTCTCTACAGAATGGTATTTGTTTTGTTTAAATCCGTCCACGTTGGGCAGAGTTACACAAAAAACAAAAAAATTGACAGTTTTTTGGCAGCTACTGTATTTGCTTAGTTCTCTCGCAGAATCCTCTATAGCCTGCTTGAAACAAAACGGACAGATTGTGGCCGACGTTCAATTACTCAAAATTTGTTTGATGTTTTGCAAACGTCATATCGCTATAATAAGGTCTTTTCATTTATTTGGAAGTCTGTGCAAATAATCTTCAAAAAAATTTTAATATTTTTATCTCCAATTGAAGCCAAGTTCTGGACCATAAGTTCAGCCTAAGCAAACGGACCGTCTCTTGTGGGTGGAGTTGAGTCCTAATGTTTGCCAAACATTCAATGGTAAGTATGTTCGTTTATTATAAAAGGAAGAGCGGAGATATCTCCCTTACCAACTTATTGTCCAGAACATCCGATATGAATTCAGCTGCTGTTCTCTTACTACTGTGTTTTCTCAGTCTTCAAGCCTTCATCGAAGCTCGCCCACCCGCTGCAGAGCCGGCTTTGGAAGCTGTCAACATTGTGAAACGCCAATCCGATGGAGATTGGGATTCTCCGAGAGGTGGCGGGAGTTACGGTGGTCGGGGGTCTGATGGCGACTGGGATGTGCAGTACTACGCTAATCAAAAACCACACGACGACGGCTGGTGGGCCTGAAAAAAAAATTTGTGGCGCTTGTATATCGAAAAGTTCTTGAATAAAATACTTATATAATGTGACACTTTAATTTCATAGCTACTTCTACCGTACAGGGTAATAATTCTCAAAAATGAAGTTTTTAAGCACCAACCTGGCGAAGATCCGGACAAAAGTGTTTTTATCTCTCCACATTTCACGTACTCCCTCGGCCACAAAGACCGCTCAGTATCTCGGTTGTCTCTGCAAAACGCGAGCATGGAGAGATACATTCTTCGGAGGTCAAATTTGTGTCTCAATAACTCGACCAACAACAAGCGGTTATTGCCAACCCTACTCTCTCGTTTGTTGCTGACGCTTGAAATACAAAGTATGAATTAAAAAAACCCGAATTATCAAGCCGGAGTATTTTTAAATATTACAGTACCGGGAAGTTTCCCGGCTTCTTTACAGGTGGCTTAATATCAACCCCACACGAGCATAAACTCGCTGAAAACAAATGTCAGTTAATCTACACGTAGGTCAGACCATAGAACTGTTAAAGAATAAACGTTGCTCAATAAACAACGTTTATTCTCTTTACATGCTCTTTGTGAATGGGCTCTCCGCCTTGACCCGGATTGCTCTGCCAATTGTCACCCTTTTGGAGTCGATTTGCGCGCCTCTTATCATCTTCTTGGCCGTATTTCACTCGAAGAAGATGCATCGATATCGATTTCTGATCATAAACAACGTAATTTGGAGCTGTTTGTTCAATTGGACCGTTTGGTTTGCGGACCCGGCTTTTCTGTTCCCGGCAGCATGCCTCGTTCTATACAACCCTCTCGTTCATCGGGTTCCAGTGGCCAAAGGAGTTTCGTCGTTCATGATCTTTTGTTTAGTGAATGTTGAGTTGGCTGTGGTTTGGAGCTTGTTGTATCGGTATTTCATGGTAAGGAAATACCCGGCGGTCATGGTTATTTGACGTAACTGTACCATACATTGCGGTTGGCATATCATTTTGTCCAGCAGTGTAGTAGGTCGGCCACCCGATGCCTTCCAAGGTGCGAGAATTGGCCGCTATGAATAAACTGCATCACATTTCACTAAAAAATCCGAACTCCCTCCTTTTTTGTACACTCCGCCATTTTGAAAATTGAAAAATATAGGTGCGAGATGTTATACGATGAACATGTCCCAGCTAATTTTTTCAATTTTTAAATTAAAAAAATTTTTTTCCATCGTATAACATGTCACAAATAATTTTTCTCAGCTTGAAAAAAGGTTAAATCGTACAACATGTCACAATTTATTTTTTCAAATTTCAAAATGAGAAGGAATGTTCAAAAAAGGGGAATGTTCATTCAAGAGAGAGTGTTCAAAAAGGGGGAGAGTTCGGGCTCAAGCGGACCTGATCCAGTAGCAAAAAGAGGTGCCATTTTGCATCCGGGAAGTATCAAAAATATGGCAAAATGTTTCCTTCTCCAAGTGAAAAAACTCCGATTTCAAAAGCGCGCCATCAAAAAGAAGTTTTATTCACTGGGAGGGGGAAGCATTTTGCCACATTTTTGATGCTTCCCGGATGCAAAATGGTACGTTTTTGCCACTGGATCGGGTCCGTCACTGCTTTTCAGTCCTTCCCCGGCAAGCTCAGCGACTTTGTGGAGAAAGGAAGGCTCTGCTGGATATGCGTGGTCTCCATACATGCTGCCTTCTACGGAGTTGCATTTCTGCCATTCTACTTTCATCCAATTCGGAGTAAGTTTCTTTTTGCCTATATACACAGTATAAGAGCAGGTTCCGTGGACCAGTCGATTGAAAAGGTCCGTCTGCTCGACCAACTTCCCCACTTCAACGATATTGAACCGGAGATTGGGTACATTTGTGCTCCCAATGTGAAGCTCGTGTCCAAATGGACCTTTGCCGCCTTTATAACCATGATTCTGTGGTTTATTGTGGGAATGATCATTTTTAGCACCATGTTTTACAGAATTATGGTGGTTTTTCAGCAAACGAACATGATGAGTAGCACTCAGCAGATGCATGTCATCTTGTTCAAGGTTAGCATTGCTCTAATTTTTATAACGCTATGTGCAACAGTGGCGGACCTGATCCAGTGGCAAAAAACGTACCATTTTGCATCCGGGAAGCCTTAAAAATGTGGCAAAACACCTCCCTCTCCAAGTGAAAAAACTCCGATTTCAAAATCGCGCCCACTCTTTTTGTGAAGGAATTCAAAACGGAGTTTTTTAGTTGGAAATGGAGGCATTTTGCTACATTTTTGGGCACTTCACGGATGCAAAATTCTACGTTTTTTGCCACTGGATCATCACTGTACAGGCCGTTAGTGTTCAACTGTTCGTTGGCTACATTTTCCTCCTCTTCCCCACCGCCGCTCTTCTCTTAACCATTGCCCTTCGATGGGACGAGGGAACTACGATTGCCGCCTTCTGCATCATGTTGGTGCAGGCCCACGGATGCGTTGATTTTGTTACAATGATCTATTTCATAACGCCGTATCGCAGAAAACTGCTTGAAATCCTTGGCCATAACTATCGAAAGGCCAAATTGCGGGGTAGCACTACGCTTGTTCAGACAACTGTATGAGAATAATGTCATTCACACAGCACGGAACTAAACGAGATAAAGACTTCGGTTTGATAGTCTGAAGGACCTAGAAGAAGGGCCTAGAAGAAGCTGTATTTTGAAGGCGGTTGCAAGGCTTATTGTCGAGAGGTAATCTGATGGCTGGGAAGTTCGGCAAGAAGGGAAAAACTAATCGAATGTAGGTTGGAATAGTCGCTATCATTCTTCAAGCCGTAAGAAACGACTCCAGTTAGACGTGAATGAACTATCATTAGATTGCAGTGCCCTAACTACGTAATTAAAGAGTAAACTTTCTAAATATGTTGACTTTAGCCTACGACATTCGCTGCAAATAATACCACAAATTTGTATGACATATTACAAGCCATTTTAATCTTGCTTCGCTAAGCTACTCGGAATGCGCGTAGTTTTGCTTTTGCATCGCTCAATTACATATTCACGTAGTTTTGCTACTTACTAAACTTGCAAATGTCTTATGATTAATGCATAAAGGTTAAGGACCTCCTGGGAAAGGTTGACTATGGCTTTTTGCGGCTCTGGAAAGTAACGAAGGCTATAACAGAACCCTACAAACCTTCAAAGTTCTGTTCAAGCTCCTATATTGCAAGCCCCGAAAAAACCCGTCATTTCTCTGTAATTTGCAATCGAAAAAATCCAAATTTTCTGGATCATTTTCAGCCGTAAAATTACTGATTTTGCGGGGTAAAAGAGCCATACTTTAACAGGTCGTAGGACCTCAGTTCGCACTCAAAAACTTTTTATTTCATAGACAAAATGTCACTTAAAAAATGCCTATTCCGAAAAATAAGTCTCTGCGCCGCCACCGCCAAAAGCCATAGCCTCCGACTTATCTTCTCGTTTTTTGAAAGATCTGGAACAATTGCAAATTCCAGAACTACGTCTTCATTTCCAGCTTTTGTAATTGCCGACTTGCGTGTGTATTTTTGCGTTTGACTTTTTTCTAATCCACGACTACGTGAAATTCCATAAAATTTCCAGGTGGTATGCAAACACTCAGTTTTGACAAAACAAGTACATTAAATACCCACAGTTTCACATTGAGCCCTGGGTCTTTTTGAGTAGATGTAAAATAAATTTTCTGCCGTTATCTATACAGAAAACTATTGGTTGCTGACTTCAGTAATACCAGGCTTCTATCGGAGGACTGTGTTAATGAAATGTTTCAAGTCTAGTGTTCTGCCGTGAGCCGCATCTTGCTGTTAGTTTATGCTCTTTGTGAATGGTTTCTCGGGGCTGACAAAACTCGCATTACCCGTTGTAACTATCATTGAGTCCATTTGCGCTCCAATGATCGTGTATCTGGCCCTATTTCATTCCAAGAAAATGCGTCGATATCGCTTTTTTATTATCAACAATGTGGTCTGGAGCTGTCTTTTCAATTGGGCCGTTTGGTTTGCCAAACCGGCTTTCATGTTTCCGGCAGCGTGCGTTGTGTTCGAAAATAGGCTGCTCCATCGGGTTCCAGTGGCCAAAATTGCCGGCTCGTTGATGGTAATTCTATTCGTCAATGTGGAGCTGGCTGTGGTTTGGGTTCTCTTCTATCGATACTTCATGGTAAGGGTTCTAATTATAGAGTTGGCATGTTCTTTTTGACAGAAAAACATGAATTTGTTTCAGGCGTATCCCGGAAAAGCCAGCGATTTTGTGGAGAAGGGAAAGGGCTTCATCATTTCCATTGTAATCACACAATTCGTTGCTTATGTCCTTTTCTTCATCCCATTTTATATACATCCTATTAGAAGTGAGTTGCAAAAACGATTTATTGTCATCTTGCTATATGAGTCACATGTATACAAATATTATACATGTGCAAAAATTTATCAGAAACATATTGTCAGGCTCTCCAGATCAATCCATTGAAAAGATCAGACTTCTCGACCAGCTCCCTCATTTCGAAGAAATCGAGCCTGAGGTTGGCTACATCTGCGCGCCGAATCTTCTTCTTGTCTCGAGATACTGTTTATTCGCAGCCGTCATGCTGATAATTTGTTTTTTGGTTGGGATGGCCATGTTTTCTATCATGGGTCATCGTGTTATGGTTGTTCTGCCCAGAATGAACATGATGAAGAGCACCCAACAAATGCATGCCATGTTGTTCAAGGCAAGGCTCTGTTTTAACATAGCTCTCGTATAGTCATCACGTGACGGTTGCATATCGTAAAATATACTGTACTTTTCAGGCAGTCTCAGTCCAAATCTGGGTTGGCTACGTCTTCCTTCTCTTCCCTTCGGCCATCCTGTTCTTAGCCATTTCGTATCGGTGGAACGAGGGCACAACCGTGGCGGCATTTTGCATTATGATGGTGCAAACGCATGGATGCGTGGACTTCATAACAATGATTTATTTTATTGTGCCGTATCGAAGGAAATTGCTACAGGTCTTGGGACAGAACTTCCCGAGCAAGCAGGTCGTACGAGCCAGTAGCACTGTGCTGCGGAGGGCGCTACCAGATGAGCCCGAGGATTAGCAATGTGCGTTAAGCTTGAAAAGAAACTATTTCAAAAATTCAAATGCGTGGAAATCACAATTCTTGGTTTTAAAACAAGCCCATGCACGTCAATCCAGAATAGAACAAAAAATTTCCCGCCCCTTTTTGGTGATTCGTTCAAAACGAAATGTCACTATCCGATAAAAAGCACTTTCTTATCTTTCTTCTTCCTTTTCGAGAAAAAGCAATTATTTCGGGCGAGAAAAAGTGCCGATAATTTCGCGACATTTCGTCTGTCTTTTTAATCAATGAAAACGATACGAAGTTTCGAAACGGTTCAGGAAATGCGATGGATTGGCGTGCCGTGGCCTAAAATTTTCGGAATTTTCACGACTAAAAATCAACTATGCTTTTTACAGGTGCTTTTTACAGATGACACATGCATGGACAAAAAAAGTAAGCGAGTAGCACTGGGAAATGTAGTCTGCGCTTCCACAGCTGCATTTGGAATACCGCTGTCACGCCAGGATCACTGAAGGCGCGTTTGATTCCATTTTATGTTATTTGTAAATGCCTTCTCAACCCTAACACAATATGTTCTACCCATTGTCACTGTCGCCGAGTCCATTTGTGCCCCGTTCATCACATATCTCGCATTATTCCACTCCAAGAAAATGCATCGATATCGATTTTTGATCATGAACAACGTCTTCTGGAGCTGTTTGTTCAATTGGACGGTGTGGTTCGCGAAGCCAGCATTTCTGTTCCCGGCGGCGTGCTTGATCCTCTACAACCCTCAAGTCCATTGGGTCGTGCTGGCCAAGGCGGTCGCCTCGTTTATGATGTTCACCTTTATTAATGTGGAGTTGGCTATTGTGTGGACGTTGTGCTACCGGTATTTTATGGTAGGAACATTCTCGGATTTTTTTAACCCTTTTTTATTTTCCGGCCTTCCCAGGGAAACTCAGCGATTTTGTGGAGAAAGGAAAGGTCGCCTTGATAGTCATAGCGGCGATACAAGTTCTGTTCTATTCCATTTGTTTCCTGCCGTTTTTCCTGCATCCAATTCGAAGTAAGTTGCCCTTTGTCGAAAGGCCCGACAAGCCAGTAACGAGACAAGACGCTCGAGAGTCAAGTGATTTATTCAGTGGAAAGGAGGCCTTTTATAGGGAAGCCCCACGTAGGAAAGTACAATCAAATTTGAATAAATGAAGATCGTTCCTCGTGGGAAGATCCTCGAAGCTCGGTCGTTCCGCCTCACACCTTTTAATCGGCCTTAGTAGATACGCAGACCAACTTCGACATCTCTAATAGCAGTTCCTAAGCACGTCAATCCAGCGCATTTCCTGAACCCTTCCGAAACTTCGTATCGTTTTAATTGATTTAAAAAAGAGACGAAATGTCGCGAAATTATCGGCACTTTTTCTCGCCCAAAATAATTGCTTTTTCTCGAAAAGGAAGAAGAAAGATAAGAAAATGCTTTTTATCGGATAGTGACATTTCGTTTTGAACGAATCGCCAAAAAGGGGAGTGAAATTTTTTCTTCTATTTTGGATTGACGTGCTAGGCGGTTTATGCCCAGCCCATTATACGTAGGCTATAGGTGGGAAAAAACGTTGTTGTTAACAACTTTTCGATTAATTTTAGGCTCTCCTGACCAGTCGATTGAAAAGATCCGTCTTCTGGACCAGCTTCCACACTTCGATGAGCTGGAGGGCGAGATTGGATACATTTGCGTTCCAAACTTGCTCCTCGTCTCAGAATGGACCTTTGCCGCCTTCCTAGCTGTTATCTCATTTTTTGTCTTTGGCATGGTACTGATTTCCATCATGTTCTACAGGGTGATGATCGTCTTCCCCAGGTCCAACATGATGTCCAGCACGCTGCAGATGCACACCATGCTGTTCAAGGCAAGTCGCTGGCCAAAATGGGCCCTAAATTTTAGGCGGTTGCAGTCCAGTTACTCGTCGCTTTCGGGTTTATCCTGTTCCCCACCGCCCTCCTTCTACTCACAATCTCTGTCCGGTGGACGGAAGGAACAAGCATTGCTGCTTTATGCATCATGCTGGTGCAGGCTCATGGCTGCGTCGACTTCCTTACAATAATTTACTTCATAACGCCGTATCGGAGAAAACTTCTGCAAATTCTTGGCCGTAATTATAGGAGAATCAAGACACGGGTCAGTAGTACAGTCGCCCAGCCAGTCTCACCGGCAGACGAGCCGGAACCTGACTGAATAATTAACGCAATAACATTGCATATGTGATATATTGCAAATACAAATGCTGCCATTTAGAAATATTACAGCAATAAATGGAATGAAAATATGTACATAGAGTATCGAGCTCTGCTGGGTCTGTTGAGCAAGTAGAAAGACGAGGCGTACTGGAGTGTCCTTAAAGTTACACCTCAAGACTAAATGTAACCTTGTGAGTTCGATCGTTGTCGCTGTCGGTTGGGGCCTATTTATTCGTTTGTCATGGTTTGTATAGGCGTATTTGAGCTTGGGATCTTATATAGAACCTAGAACAGGAACTTCGAATCCACCCGCAATTCGTGACAGGGCACGTCAAACTGAGATAAGCTAAAACAGTCCGGTGAATGGATTGGTGTTTTGCCAAAAAAGACGCAAAAAAACGTTTTGTCGGGGACGAAATGGGGAATTTTTGGGGCGAGAGAGTACGCTTTTGCGTATCTCTTTTCTCCCTTTCTCTGCGAAATCAAGACGAAGTGTAAAAAACCGATAGCGAAGAGTCTATTCCGGTCACCGGACTTCTCAGTTTGACGTGCAGCGTGCTCTTTCAGAACGCATACCATTGTAATCTCAACAGCTTAATAAAAACGCAGGAAATATACAAATTACAGAGAGAACTTATCATTACGCAATGCTACAAACATTTTTTAACTACGCAAGTTCCGGTTTATTTTTGTATTTTGCTTTGCTGGAACAACCTTTAGCTTTGCGACTCTTAGCCGGTGTTATCAGGTGTAACCTGCGTACGCAGTGCTGGAATACACTATAGACTACAAACGGCCGGGTTCAGAAAATACTTGGACTGCCGAAGATTTCGATGCTTTTTTCCAACGCCTTGGAGCCAGTCACCGACACGGCCCTGCTCCTCTGCACCGCTGTCGAATCCGTGTGTGCACCGTTTATCCTATACCTGGCCTTATTTCACTCCAAGCAGATGACCCGTTATCGGTTTTTGATCATCAACAATGTGGTCTGGAGCTGTTTGTACAACTGGGCGGTGTGCCTGGTGAAGCCGGCGTTCATGTTTCCGGCGATGTGCTTCATCCTGGACTCGCCGTTGGTCCACCGATCATTCTGGACCAAGGTGGCGACCATCCTAACCATGGGGTTCTTCATTAATATTGAATGCTCTGTGTTCTGGTGCCTTATGTATCGATACTGCATAGTAAGCATTTTATAGTGCGGATGAGTTTTCGCGCTGCAAATTGTGAATGCCATGCGTAGGAGGGATGTTGCATACAGTCACATTATGCTAGACTGTACAGTGAGGGACCTCATGCAGTGGCAAAAAACGTACCATTTTGCATCCGGGAAGTATCAAGAATGTGGCAAAATGCCTCCCTCTCCAACTAAAAAAATCTGCGTTTTGAACCGCGCGCCGTTTCCCTCACAAAAAGAGTGGGCGCGCTTTTGAAATCGAAGCTTTTTCACTTGGAGAGGGAGGTAATTTGCTGCATTTTTGATACTTCCCCGATGCAAAAGGATAGGTTTTTGGTCAATGGACCAGGTCCGCCACTGTAAATTAAATATCCATTTCAGGCATATCCCTCTCTCACCGATTTTGTTGAGAACAGTAAAGCGGTTGTTGTTGTTATAATTGTCACCCATTGCGTGGCTTACACCTGCGCCGGTGGACCGTTTCTGTTGCATCCAATCAGAAGTTCGCCGGATCAATCGATTGAAAGGATCCGCCTTCTTGATCAACTACCGCATTTCGGGGAGAAAGAGCCCTACATTGGATACATCTGCGCTCCGAACATCTTCCTAGCGCGGCTGTATTGTGGTCTGGGTGCGGTGTTTTTGGTTTGCTGGGGAATTTTCTGTTCGTTTCTACTGTTCCGAATGTACTACAGGGTCTCGGTGATTTTCCCAAAACAGGGCATTATGGAAAGCACACAAAAGATGCATATGATACTATTCAAGGCAAGCGTAAAATATCGCGCTTTACTGTCGAGTATTTTAAGGCTGTTGCGGTCCAACTGCTCGTGTTTCTTTTGTTCATCCTCTTTCCAACCTCGCTTTTAATGATTGCGGTAGTTGCTCGCTGGAACGAAGGAACCACTCTTGCGGCCGGATGCATGCTGCTGGTGCAGATGCACGGCTGTGTGGACTTTGTCACGATGATCTACTTCATAACGCCGTATCGAAAGAAACTGTTGGAGATTGTCGGAAGGGCGTCGAGTAAGCGCCTTCATGCGGTCAGCAGTGTCATCCACACACACAATATTTTTACCGCGGAGCCGCCGAGAGGATGACTTTGATCTTTATTGCATTGTTTTGGCTGCTGAATACGAGTATGTCCTTTCGAGTATTCATTATGGACACAAAAGGCTTTATTTTGGCCAAGTTAGTTAGGCTGTCCCATAAATAATGTCGCTCTTCTGAAGATATATACTGAAACAACAGAATTTAGTACGACCCAGGGCTGTATATACGACTACGGCTCAAGATGGAGCACCAATTCTATCCACATAGACCAAGACCAGAAACTCCGATCCAACCAAGCCAAACCCGCCTGCCTAACCAAGTAGACGACACAAAGACACCTCTTGGCATTCTGCAGCAGTACGGTGGAAACCCTTCAAAAAGAGAACATGAAGACGGGATTGGTGATAGTTGGGGAACAGATGAAGCTAAGGAAAAGCTCAGGACGAGGGCGTGCGCGCGTGGCCCCGTTTAATACACTTTTATCCTGGTCGTTGTAGGTTTATTTACATTTTACCTTGCATTTACCTTTTGTTGTGTTTTTTCGGCTAGATAAACGTATATTACTATGTGTTTGGCGAACTTATTTTGCGGAGTTCCATTTCTAACCTTTTTCATGGCGATAGCGCTCGCATTTTTGCCCTATTATTTACCGTAATAAAATCGATCGATTTTATCGAAATAAATACCATGCTCTTTAATGCGCTTAGTACAACAAGCCAGAGGCATTTTTATGCTTCTAGCTTAGAAATCCCGGCTTTTGGAGCCGATGAAACCTTGCATATTTCCAATTTATATCTCAACATGCTTATTTTCTCATGTCGCGCCGAAAAACTGTTGGATACAAGAAGACGATTCCATCCAACAGTAAGGTTATTTCCTCTAGTAAATAAATATATTGCCACTGGGTAAGTTCTAAAGACCAATTTGTTCCAAATGACAAAAGCGTGCTGAGCAACAGCTGGAAATAAAGCCTGAATACCGGAGGAAGTACGGCTTCTCTCCGCAGAACTGTTTCAAAACTTCCACTGCTACTCGTAAATTTCCAGAGAACAGCGCTGAACTGGAGTTGAATTTATTCGAAAAACCTTTTTTTTCATGCTCAACCACCACTTATGATCTATGTGAACGAACTCGAATTTCTAACTCGATTTATACTCCCGTTTGCGACTATCATCGAACTTGTTTGTGCACCGCTCATGGTGTACTTAGTGTTATTCCACTCGAAGCAGATGAAACGATACCGATTTTTCATTTTGAACAGTGTTCTTTGGAACTTCCTCACAAACATGCTGTTTTGTTTCGGTGCTCCGGTTATTATGTTACCCTCAAGTTGCTATGTAATGCGAACGGCCTTCTTCACTCACCCATACGTGGCGTTGGTGCATTGGTCCTTTCTGGCCACCTTTATTGGTCACACGAATTTTGCGGTGGTCTGGAGCTTGTTCTATCGGTATTTTATGGTAAGAAGCTTAAGATACTTTTGTTTTGCGTTCAATTTACAGGGGAAGCACCCCAAGTGCGACGCATAGATTTTGATGAAAGTTGGCACAGATTTAGAGTAATTTTTTCTAAAATATATGCGAGAATCCTAGCTCGCGCTTTGCAGAAACAACGAAGATTTTTAGATCGAATGTCGGCGAAAATTTGTGACTTTTTGCCGAATTTCGGCACGAAAATTTTAATGCGTTCTACCGGAAAGGGCAATGTTTCAACAAAAAATCAATTTTCCGCACGAAACTGGCAAAGTCATGGCCAAAAAGCGTTTTTCTCTTTGACCGCTCTCCACGTTTAGTGTGCTCTCTCGGCGGCAAAAATCGTTCAATATCTCGGCCGCGCCCGCAAAGCGTGAGCTAAAAGTTTCAGGAATTGATAACTTGTCTGTGCCCGACGCGTATGCAAAATTAAGAAAAAATCTGAGCGTTGCACTAGGGGTACTTCCCCTGTTAGTCAAACTGGCTTGATTGGGTAGGCATTTTTTAAAACGCACATATTATAAAGTGGGTGCGGTCTAAATACTTCATGTTGGGCCTTGCTGCACATGTCTTGCCTGTGAACAGCCAAGCCCAGCAAAATAATGCAAATATTCTCCGTAGATTGAAGACCTTTAACCGATAATTTTCAGGGCTTCTTCGGCTGGCCTGCACGATTGGCCGAGAGCGTTTGGTTCATGCCGTTGCTGGCATTGCTAACTTATGTTGCATGTACTCCGTTGCTCTATCCTCTAATTATTTATCCAATACCAGGTGAATTAGTTTTCATAGTGATCTTTTCGGCTAATCGGGAGTAAATGTGACAAAAAAAAATTCAGATGCCCCAAGGATCAAAGAGTTATTTCGCCAGCAACTGCCTCATCTTCAAGAATACGAATCAAAAATGAGTTATGCGTGCGTCCCCAACTCAGACGCCTCACGTTTCTTCATATTGATTGTGATCGTTCTCTTTGTGACCTTTCTCATAATGGGCATTGTCTTGTACGGTATCATGCTTCATAGGATATACATCACCAACCCACATGATGCGCTATTCAGGACCACCACAAGGCTGCACAACATGCTGGTAAAGGTGGGCTTTTATGGGACTTTTATGAAGCGGATAACTTGTGGGTTTAGGCATTTGGTGTTCAACTGTTTGTTGGCTATGTTTTCCTCTGTCTTCCGTGCATGGCCATGTTCGCCGCTTTTTATGCCCAATGGGAGGAAGGTACCACCATTTGCGCATTCTCCTTCGCAATGCTCCAACTCCATGGGTCGGCGGATTTTGTCACAATGATGTACTTTATCACGCCGTATCGTAAAAAATTAATGGAAATACTGTGGAGGAAGTACGCCATTGGCAGTCCGCCCACAAGCTTTGCCAAAACGAAAAGCGTTGTCAGTGCGATTCGTCGGCGTTGACAGTGGATCATACGTGCGCTGTGGTCGCTGCATCAAGATTTTCAAGTGATGCCCAGACAGGTGGTTGTATAATACAGAATTATACGGATATGTCATGTATATATAACAGCGGGTGATATATGTAAAATGTAATCATGCAACTTCCAATCTAAGACAGGTCAATAAAACTTATGTATACCTTACATATTTGCCAAAGAAAGAAAATTGAGTCAGCGTCCGTCTAACTGCGACTTCATATCAGAAAAAGTATGGAGAAAAGCAATTTTAGAAGCAAGAGATCTAGGGGCTAAGGTATATAGTACAAACCCCCAGGCCAGTTCAGACCCCCATGACCCAGTACAAACCCCCACATCCAATCTGAACCCAGAAACCTTCAATGAAATCTTGATGAGAAGGAATGTTGTACCGGGCTTTCGTGGGGACTATCTACCAAAGCCCCAAGATCTAAGCTGTATTTCGTACGATATTCAAACTGGATCGTCCCTCGGCTATCATCTTTTCGTTTCTTGATACCACTTGATTCTGCACTTTGAACCTTTATTCGTCAGATGTTTACGTGTTTGTGAGTATTGAGCAACTTTTTCAACGGTTTTCCGTCTTTTGCAAATTAGAAAATTGTATTATAAATCGAACTTCCAACCGACCAAAAAACTCTTCAGATGCCATTAAACGAATTTCTTCAAGAATTATATATTTATTAAACCCCAATGTATTAAATTTGAGGAGTGACAGCAAGTGGGTTTTTCAAGCCTTCCTGTTTTGTCTGTTTTTAGAACAGGTGGAAGGTCTCAAAACATGTAAACCCAAGGCCATTTCGCTTGCAAACATAGTTGTTTTTGTGGAAAGTGTAGTCGACTGAACCTCTAGACGTTCAGAATTTTCATTTTCAATTACAATTTTACTGCAAATTTGCCTTCAGCCCACTGTCCATGATCTACGTGGATGGTGCGGAATGGCTTGCCAAATACACGTTGCCTATCACCGCCCTCATCGAGGTAACATGCGCGCCGTACGTCATATTTCTGGCGTTATTTCATTCGCGTCAAATGAAACGGTATCGCTTTTTGATTCTGAACAATGTGGTCGGAAGCTGCCTTCTGAACCTGGCTTTTTGCCTCGCCAAGCCTCATTACATGTTCCCGGCGGCGTGTGTGATAAATGACTCAACATTGCTCCGCAACCACTATTCGAATGTGGCATACAATTGTGTGTTTGTTTTGCTGCTTCTTTACTCCGACATGTCGATTGTTTGGAGTCTGTTCTACCGGTACTTTATCGTAAGTAATACACGATACACTATAGATGGGTTGAGTAGTTGGTTGTCACGAAAAAATGCAGGATATACAGCACAGTCGGGGACCTGATCCAGCGGCAAAAAACGTACCATTTTGCATCCGGGAAGTATCAAAAATGTGGCAAAATGCTTCCCTATTTAAGTGAAAAAAATCCGATTTCAAAAGCGCGCCCGCTCTTTTTGTCAGGGGAATTCAAAAAACGAAGTTTTTTTCACTTGGAGTGGGAAGCATTTTGCCACATTTTTTACACTTCCCGGATACAAAATGGTACCTTCTTTGCCACTGGATCCGGTCCAACAGTAGCATTTCACAAGTTTATTTCAGGCATTTCCAGGCTGGCCTTCCGATTTCGTCGATAAAGGAAACTTGGCCCTCTTCCTGGCTGTTGGTGGCCAAGTGTTGATGTCAGCGGTTGTCTTATTCCCTCTGTTGGTCTTTCCCATCCCAAGTGAGAGACCATTCTTTCTTTTTATCCTCAACTTGCAGGTCCGTTAACACAAAAATCTCTCTTTCTCCAACAATTACCTCAACTGAAAGGCCAAGAGCCTTATCTAAGCTATGTGTGTATTGCTCACTCCGAAACAGCAACCTCCTACGCTTTGTTGCGATTGATAATTTTGATAGGCTTCTTTGCCACTGGAACCACTTTGTTTTGCATAATGTCGTATAAATTGGCGGTGTTGAAATCAAGTCGTGGATACTTTGGAAGCACACAAAAGATGCACCGAATGTTATACAAGGTAGGCTCTAATAAAAGATTACAATTCCAACATTTAATATCGTGTTTTTAGGCAGTGGCAGTCCAACTGTTCATCGGCTACATCTTCTTTCTCTTCCCCACGGCTGTGGCCATGTTGACTTACTATTGCCAATGGAAAGAAGGAACAACAATTGCATCAATCTGCACGATGCTCGTGCAGTTTCATGGCTGCGTGGATCTTTTGACAATGATGTATTTCATCACGCCGTATAGACAGAAATTTATGAAAATGATGACCGGAAAAAGGGCGGAGGAGACCAAGTTCACGACGACAATAACTGTGGCGTACAGCAGTTCGCGGTTTACTAACAAGGGATCGGCAAATAGTTGCACCCTGCTTTCTTAACGAAACATGTATCATTTGAAAGAGCATTAAAAATAGTGCACAGCGCAAAAAAATTAGCTGCCTAAATTACCTTAGGGCATAGATACGACCGCTTTTTGAAAGGGGTTATATGCGGCCAAAACGCCGGTTCCTTATATTACAGTAATCCTGGCGGTTTGAAATCGTCTTTATTAATTTCCTGGTATCCAAGAACGTCTATCACGGTCGTTTTATGGCTTTACCAATCCTCGGTTATATGTTATTAGACATTACTGCTAGTTACAGTAAATTGTAAATAAAACTAGGTTAAAGGGAAAATTGGAGCAAAAAGTTTTGGAAATACATTTATATGATCGTCGTGGTCATTCACAAACGAAAATTTCAAAATCGAAAATTTCTTCTCTCCTAGCCTTACCAATGGTTGGTCCACTGTGTCAGCATTAGTGTCTTTGGCCGATTTTACAATTTTATCTTCGTATTTTTTCAAAAAAGCATTTTTATAGGCCCTTGTAAATTGAATTATCCTCCAGCAATCATAATCGGTCAGGCTACTGGCATGACACCCTTGGAATTATACGATAGTGACATACCCACTCTCATCACCATCAAATTTGTGGTCGTTTCAAAAAAATTCAAAAACTCAGAAAAATTGCGTAACCATGGATTTTGTCTGCGGAGGAACAAAAATTATTAAAAAATGTCAACATACCATGGTTTTGTGGCATATAAGAGACGAAACGCAAAATATTTACAGAGACCGGATTCGAAACCAGGACTCGCTGCGCCGGAAGTGGGCTCACTACCACTCGGCCAACTGGACACAAGAGAGCTTATAAAGCGAGGCGGAAATTAGGCTAAAATCTGTATTTTGGCCATAACTTTGTCCAAAGTGAATTTAGGCAGCTAATTCTTTTTGCGCTGTGAACTATTTTTAATGCTCTTTCAAATGATATAGGTTTCGTTAAGAAAGCAGGTTACAACTATTTGCCGATCCCTTGTAAGTGAATTTTTGAAAAAATAAGCCATAAGTTGTGCGTTCTGATTTAACAATAAAACTACGAACTTTTTTCATTCTACACGATTTTCTATGCGATAGACTGCTCATTATTTTCTCGACAGACTGGTAGGACGTCACTTCCATGAAAATAAAAATCCTTGAACTTGGTTCACTATGGCATGCCGTGGTATTATCATACGCTGCCTGTGATATTTTTACCGAAACATATCGTAATAAAAACCCAATAATAGAAAATGGCTCTCATGCCGGATTCGATCTTCGGGTATTTTCTTTTTAATCAGCGCTACAGTATGACGTGGGAATATTTCTTACCGCCGGCTGGACATTTTAACCGGTGGAAAACCCCTGCTTAATATCCTTTAATAATTCCTTCATGTTTTTGCCTCAACTGTGTGTTTGGTGACAAAATTGACAATGATTTATCAAAACAGCTTCGCTCTAACTGACTACGCTCTTGCCATCTCTACTGGCCTTGAATCCATATGCGGACTCATCTTGAAAACTGCTCTTTGCGACATTCTGCAACCTAGATTTCTCAGGAGTTGATACATAGACAAATATATCAAGTGTGTAAAAAATTTGAATAAAACCTGGGGCCTGTTTCACGAACGCGAAATAAAGAAAATAGAAATATGAGTGAGCGAGGGAACAGAGGAAATGCATGCGAAACGGGAGAGACGGCAGGAAAATGAGGAAGGCGCCAATTCTCAATCGGAGTGACTTTTTACGTCCAAAATTACGGGTTGGCGGTAGTATTTGAGCCATAACTTTCCTCTACTTGGGCCTACAAGCACCCTCCAAAAATTCAAATAATGCTGAGACTTCGGGCTATATAGATCTATAAAAATTTTTGCTCTACCGCCAATGACAAAGTTACCATAGACGTTGTAGTGTTGAATTCTTCTACTTTATAACGCTAAAAGGCCTTTTTTCGCGTTGATTGAAATAGTAAAAAATTCTAATTTATGTCAGTCGATAGACAATTTAATTCTCTACAAAACATTTTTAGAGGGCCAACTGTAAGTCATTTTTTGGCTGAGTAATGACTGATTTACTTTGTCAATCCCTCGATTTTCATCACAAAAAATCTTTCGAAAGAGCCCTCACAAGGGATCGGCAAATAGTTGTAACCTGCTTTCTGAACGAAACCTATATCATTTGAAAGAGCATTAAAAATAGTTCACAGCGCAAAAAGAATTAGCTGCCTAAATTCACTTTGGACAAAGTTATGGCCAAAATACAGATTTTAGCCTAATTTCCGCCTCGCTTTATGAGCTCTCGGAACGGCAACAGAGTTGTGTCCAGTTGGCCGAGTGGTAGTGAGCCCACTTCCGGCGCATCGAGTCCTGGTTTCGAATCCGGCCTCTGTAAACATTTTGCGTTTCGTCTCTTATATGCCACAAAACCATGGTATGTTGACATTTTTTAATAATTTTTGTTCCTCCGCAGACAAAATCCATGGTTACGCAATTTTTCTGAGTTTTTGAATTTTTTTGAAACGACCACAAATTTGATGGTGATGAGAGTGGGTATGTCACTATCGTATAATTACAAGGGTGTTGTGCCAGCAACCTGACCGATTATGATTACTGGAGGATAATTCAATTTAAGGGCCTATAAATATACATTTTTCGAAAAAATACGAAGATAAAATTGTAAAATCAGCCAACGACACTATTGCTGATACAGTGGACCAACCATTGGCAAGGCTAGGACATAAGAAATTTTCGATTTTGAAATTTTCGTTTGTGAATGACCACGACGATCATATAAATGTATTTCCAAAGCTTTTTGCTCCAATTTTCCCTTTAACCTAGTTTTATTTACAATTTACTGTAACTAGCAGTAATGTCTAATAACATATAACCGAGGATTGGTAAAGCCATAAAACGACCGTGATAGACGTTTTTGGATACCAGGAAATTAATAAAGACGATTTCAAACCGCCAGGATTACTGTAATATAAGAAACCGGCGTTTTGGCCGCATATAACCCCTTTCAAAAAGCGGTCGTATCTATGCCCTAAGGTAATTTAGGCAGCTAATTTTTTTTGCGCTGTGCACTATTTTTAATGCTCTTTCAAATGATACATGTTTCGTTAAGAAAGCAGGTTGCAACTATTTGCCGATCCCTTGTCAAATCAAAAGAAGAGAGAAATTTTACGGTAAAAAATGGGAGGGGGTTAGACTAAATCACCCATAACTTCATCAGTTGTTGAGATATAGACGCCCCTCTAAAAAAATAAGGTAGCCAAGACAATTTTCTTTATAATTATGTAAAATTTTGTACTAATATTTTATTATTTGGAACAAAAACCTATTTTTATTCTGAAAAAAATGAAAAAATGCTGCAAACTGCTGCACTACTATAAATTTGTTCGTGCCGTAGATCGCCAAACATCCTAAAAAATTACATTACTGTAAACCGTGGACTCAGGTCTACATGATTTTTTTTTAAACGGTGTCGATCCGACAATATTGAACCAAGTTATGAGGAAATTAATCTAGAATTTCACAAATTTTGTAGAAAATAGAAATATGCGCAATACTACAGCTATTTTCGAGCGGGTTTTTGCAACAGTGCAACGAAACTTGCACACATGACAGTCCAAACAGTTAGCATTATTCGAAATTTTGAAGGGTGATTCTACGCCCATGGAGGGAAAAGTTATGGCCGAAACACTGCCGCCAACCTTGATTTTGGACGTAAAAAGTCACTCCGATTGAGAAGTGGCGAAATCCTCATTTTTCTGCCGTCTCGCCCGTTTCGCATGCATTTCCTTTGTTCCCTCGTTCACTCATATTTCTATTTTCTTTATTTCGCGTTCGTGAAACAGGCCCCTGATAGTCGCAATTGGAGCACTTACCTTGTGAATCACTTTTTTGACCAAGTCAAGTTTATCAAAGGTTTATCGGATACAATAGGCATTTCTATTTCTAAACAGATACGATCATTACTCCCACCGCCTCGAGCAATATGTACTCCGCACTCCTCCGCCTAAAGCTCTCATGAAAATTGTACGTGTAATCTGTGGTCTTCAAGATCAGACAGTTATCTTTAAGATTTGTTTTGCTTTCTTAAAGCGTTTTCAACAGCCCATTTCAGCAGACGCTACATATATTTAAAGATTTGTAGCAAAACTGGAACCAATAGTTATCCGAATTTGTAGTCGCATCCTACACGTTCAATTAACACTTCTATAAAAAGACCTTGGGAAACCATGGGGGTTCGCAATAGTGGAGGCAAATCGTATCATCAGATCTCTTCTCGACTGCCTTATACAGCGATAGTATACAGCGATATGAGCTGGGGATATTACTGAATTATTCCATGATCTACGAGAATGCTATAGCGTCTATAACCCACTACTCGTTGCCTATCACCACTGCCTTGGAGAGTTTCTGCGCTCCGCTCATCCTCTACCTGACCGTATATCATTCCGCGCAAATGAAGCGCTACCGCTACTTTATAATGAACAATGTGATCTGGAATTGCCTGCTCAACTGGGCCTCGTGCATCTACCGACCGGCCTACATTTTTCCAGCGCCTTGTGCCACCTTTGAGATTGCAATTCACAACACTTGGTTCACTGGCGTCAGCTCCGTGGTTCTGCTGTTTATTGTTGTGAATGCGGAGACGTCGGTGGTGTGGAGTGTGCTTTATCGGTTTTTCATGGTATGGCTGAGTGACTTCCTTACCTCTTGCGGCAGAAACATTGCACGTCAAACTGAGGGGTCCGGAATAGACCCTTCGCTATCGGTTTTTACACTTCGTCTTGATTTCACAGAGAAGTCAGAGAAAAAGACGCGCAAAAACGTACTCTCTCGCCCCAAAAAATCCCCATTTCTTCCCCGACTAAATGTTTTTTCGGGTCTTTTTTGGCGGATTGCCAACTTATTCATCGGGCCGTTTGAGCCTATCTCACAAGGGAAGTACTTGAAGTGTGACGCTCAGATTTTGATGAAACTTGGCACAAATTTAGAATAATTTTTTCTAAGATATATGCGGGAATCCTAGCTCGCGCTTTGCAGAAACAACCGAGATTTTTAGATCGAAAGTCGGCGAAAATTTGGGACTTTTTGCCGAATTTCGGCACGAAAAGTTTCATGCCTATTTCAACCGTAAAGAATAATGTTTCTACAAAAAATCAAATTTTTCCGCACGAAACTGCCAAAGTTATGGCCAAAAAGCGTTTTTCTCTCTGACCGCTCTCCACGTTGAGCGTGCTCTCTCGGCGGCAAAAATCGTTCAATATCTCGGCGGCGCCCGCAAAGCGCGAGCTAAAACTTTCAGGAATTGATATTTAGTCCATACCCGATGTGTGTGCAAAATTTAAAGAAAATCTGAGCGTCACACTTGAAGTACTTCCCCTGTCAGTTTGACGTGCATTGTATAATATAATACAAAATGGTTTCAGTCCTATCCCGGCTGGATCAGCGATTTTGTTGAGAAGAGAAGGCTGGCGATCGTATTGTTTGTATTCGCCCAAATATTCGTCGATTTCTTGGTGCTTTGGCCGTTTTTTGTCTACAAACGACCCAGTAAGTGTTGAAGGCATCGAAAAAATAAGTTGAAAAATCGGGTCCGGCAGGCTTTTACGGCACCGAAATAGCCATGCCAGCTCAGGGGAAATTTTTAAACAACCTTAGAATTAAAATTGTTGATTGCAACCTCTAACCAAATCCTTTTTCTTGTTGGTGAAGCCGCCGAGCAAGAGCAGTTCCTGAAAGAAGCCCCTTATTTTTGGCCCTACGAGCCCTCCCTCGGCTACTTTTGTTCGATGGACAAGGAGCTTCTCATAGAAATCGTGTTTGGTGGCGTCATCATGCTAATGTGTTTCTTTGCGATGGGCACTGTCGTTTTTATCGTCCTGTGTTATCGAGTCATCGTTGTGAACAAAGACAATGGGGAGTTCTTTGCCGGAAGCTTGCATCGTATGCATAAAATCTTGTTTAAGGTAAGAGACGAGTTGATCTCCAAAATTACAGTGGGGGACCTCATCCAGTGGCAGAAAAGATACCATTTTGCATCCACGAAGTATCAAAAAGCAAAATACCTCCCAAGTGAAAAAACTCAGATTTCAAAAGCGCGCCCGCTCTTCTTGTGAGGAAAAGGAAGTTTTCACTTGGAGAGGGAAGCATTATGCCACATTTTTGATACTTTCCGAATGCAAAATGGCCCTTTTTTTGCCACTGGATCAAGTCCCCCCACTGTAGAGGGCAAACCGGCCTAAATTTTGCTCTGAATTGGCACAAATCCTGATTGTATCAACCTAAATTTCAGGCGGTAGCGTTCCAGGTTCTGGTCGGCTTCATTTTCCTCCTCTTCCCCACGGTAGTCATTCTGTTCGTCTTCTACGCACAATGGGAAGAAGGGACGACGATTGCGGCCGTTTGTTTGGTTCTGGTGCAAGCGCACGGATGCGCCGATTTCTTCACCATGATTTATTTCATTGTGCCATATCGTCGTCAGCTGTTAAAGTTCTTTGGGAAGGCGACTTCCAAAGTCGCGCTGGCTGATCCCGCAACATAGGTTGGAAAATAAAGAGGGTTAAAACAGTCTTGTTGATGTTACTAACAGGGGAAGTAATACCCCAAGTGCGACGCTCAGATTTTGATGAAACTTGGCACAAATTTAGAATAATTTTATCTAAAATAAGTGCGAGAGTCCTAGCTCGCGCTTTGCAAAAACAACCGAGATTTTTAGATCGAAAGTTAACAAAAATTTGACACTTCTTGCCGAATTTTGACACCAAAAGTTTCATGCCTATTTCTACCATAGAGGGTAATATTTCCACAAAAAATTAATTTTTTCCGCACGAAACTAGCAAAGTTATAGCCAAAAAGTGTTTTTCTCTCTGACCGCACTCCGCGTTTAGCCTACTCTCTCAGCGGTAAAGATCGCTCAATATCTCGGCGGCGCTTGCAAAGCGCGAGCTAAAACTTTCAGGAATTGATACTTAGTTCATGACCGAGGTGTGTGCAAAATTTAAAGAAAATCTGAACGTCGCACTTGGTTTACTTCCCTTGTAAATGTAAATAAATATATATGAGGAATTCCTGTCATAAAATGAGCTTGCAAAAAGACATCATAACAGAGTCAGCAATCAAGTCACAAAGTCGTATGAGGTCGTTCATTTAATCCTATTGCAGATCATTTTTTCATAGAATGGCACGTTTTTTGCAGCACAGCGAAGCAATTCTCGGAATAACGGGCACAAAGGAACGGCTGGTTTTACTGTCTATTTTGCTCTTCGATCTTGCTGTTTATGTCCACGACGTTTCGAAAAGATTTTTCACTGTGTTCCACTTACGAGAATTGAATTTAAACCCCTTTTTTGTAGTTTCGGCCCATGCAACAAAAAGTTATATAAGAAATGTCGTAGAAATTTAGCGGCATTGCGGAAGAGGGTTACATCCAATACGTACACCTCTTATTTTAGTTAACAGAGGAGGAGTGCTGAAAGCGCGACGCATCTTGTTTCGATTTTTCACACACGTTGTTGCAACTTCTGAAATGCTTAGTATGCGCTAGATGCAGCCGAGATATTAACGTGCTTTCCCGCAGCAAGATTGCCCGGAATTCATAGAGCTATTTTGAATAAATGGCCTTTGACAACACAACTTTTTTCAGCGATGATTTATGAAAATTCGGCTGCCTTCTTGACTCAGCATTCCCTCCTCATTACCACTGCTTTGGAGTCAATTTGCGCGCCCATTGTGTTGTACTTGACCCTCTACCACTCGATGCAGATGAAACGGTACCGATATTTGATTATGAACCATGTTGTGTGGAACTTGCTGATGAATTGGGCGCTGTGCGTCTACAAGCCGACAATGTTGTTTCCGGCGCCTTGTGTGACGTTTGCACCAGCGATTCATAACACTTGGTTCACTGGGATCAGCTCAATGTTTCTTGTTTTTCTAGTCGCCAATGTGGAAATGTCGGTGGTTTGGAGTGTGCTTTATCGATTCTTTATGGTAAGGGTTGCTAATAAGAGAAGAAAAATTTATGTCATTGTGGTTTTTGGCATAGAAATTTTGCGGCAAATTTGAAAAGTAAGCAATGATACTCACTTTAAACGCGATACTACTCTCTTGAAAATGACAATCAAGAATTAATTTACAGTCCTACCCTGGCCGTGTCAGCGACTTTGTAGAGCGCCGCAGAGGCTCCATTATTGTGTTCATCGTTGGCCAACTACTGGTCTGCCTTTTTGTCCTTTCGCCTTTTGCCATCTTTCAAAGGCCTAGTATGTTCACACTAGTATTAAGAGGGCTCTACATAAGAGGGGTTCCGGGTAAATTCAATTTTTTTCGGCCATGGTGCTCAGCCACGCATCTCGGCCATACCAACTTTTATGTCTCGCAACTTGCAGAGCTCAAAACAAGATAAGACGTGTTCTGAACGATAAAATGGAAAAAAGCATTCGGAAATGGCGTAGTTTTTGCTTATTGTGTGCAATGTACAGTGCAGAAGAAAAAATTTCCATGTCCGAAAAGCGTGGCCGATCATCACGGCCGAAAAAAATTGAATTTAACCGGAATCCCTCTTATATGTGCTCTAGGTGAAGCCAGAGAAACAGCGGAATTCCTCAAGCGACTCCCACATCTGCAACAATACGAACGGTCCACCGGATACCTCTGTACGATGGATATTGAGATCACCGGGATCGTCCTTCTGTTTGGAGTAATGCTGTTGGTGTTCTTCTTCGTCGCTGGCACTGTGATCCTCTTTATTTTGGGGCGTCGAGTAACAAACGTGAACAAAGAGGGGTTCTTTGCGGGGAGTGCACATCGAATGCACAAGATGCTATTCAAGGTAAGTACTATTATATACGAAATTGGGGCTGTAGAGGTGAATGTGAAAGGAAAAAAACTACTATATCTAGAGGAGTGGTAATGTGAAGGTCTTCTGATTGCAGGCCGTATTAGTTCAAGTCATTGTCAGCAACATCTTTCAATTTGTGCCCACCACTTTGCTCTTGCTCACCTTTTACGTCCAATGGGAGGAAGGCACGACGATCGCTGCCGTTTGTGTGACGATGGTGCAAGTCCACGGAAGTGTGGACTTTATTACAATGATGTATTTCATTGTTCCCTATCGCCGACAGCTGTTGAGATTGGTCGGAAGGCAAACAGGGAAGGTGTGGTCGGAGCAAACGTAAATTTGAAAGCTTACGGAGTGTGGAAGCGGCTGTTCAAGTTATGTGTAGGCTTGTAATAAATAATAAACTGGTAATAAATGCATATCATCAAAAAAGGATAAGATTTGAAGGAATTTGCAAGTCTTTCCGAAGAACATAGTAAAGTAGCCCTATAAAATCTTCTCTCGTGACAAATTCAGAAAATCTAGACTGACAAATAAATGCTCACGCTGACCCGGTTGTTGTTGCGCATTGAGAAGGAGGAAACCCTTTTCAAAACAAAATACCACCTGTGCGTCAACAAGGAACAATTTGTAACATGAATGACAAATTTGCAGACATGACAGGGGGGCCGGGCCGGCCTGGCCCGTTGCTGGACATCTGGGAATTGCTCGAGAAGAAGACGGTCCAACTCAAACCAATTTAGCTGACAAGGTCCTCGCTCAAACGAAGAATAAGGCTTGGTGTGGAGAGGCGATTCGTGGTAGCCAACGGTAAGCGTTGTTTGTTGAGCGCATTGATTAGGTTTCCAGAATAAGATGAGAGACCCTTCCTATTCCTAATTCCCCTTCCTTTAGCTACCTCCAGCGTTCCATTCAAGGAATCCTCCCTCAGAACGACCAGATCGTAAACAGGATCCCCAGCAAAGGGGATCACTCGCCGCAATGTTACGACCAGCGGCAAAGCCTTCGTACCTGACGTTCGAATAGCCATCTCTAGCATCGTGGACAAGATCCTCTTCCCCCAGAGTATTTGTCCAAGGCTGTCGAACTTTTCGAAGCCACTAAATGTGGAGAGAGATACAAAGTTGACTGTAATGGCGACTATGACATTGATTTCGTCGCCGGAGGGCAAGATGTTCGAATCGAATCTGTAAATCTTGTGGAAAAGGAAGACAAGGAATGTTTCCTGAAGATCGGCCGATCCTGGGATGAGGGCTTCTACATATTTTGGCCTGCCGTTCTTTGCCAACCGCGGAATTTGCTTTAACTTTGACTTGGACGAAATTATGCTCTGTAACGCAATATTGTAATTGTCGTACTATTTGGTTACTGAGTTAAAACAAATATAATGCCAATCTTAAAAATAAATGACTACGCACAAAATGTTTTATATAAATATTAAAATATTATGTCAGGTACCCAAGGTTCAAGTTACGCCTTGAAAACATGTATTCAGATGTCCACACAAATGGGAAAAGCACGTAAATCCGAAGAGTTTAACAAAAGCAAGAAGCCAATTTAAAGTAATTACTAAACGCTGCCATACAAAACTTATACGGAATTGTGTTGCATGTACATAAGGAGTGCCTCTTGTTTATAAAGTTGTTGCTTTTATAATATAAGCTCAAGGAGATTTATTTCAATAAGAACTTGAACCTAGAAACCTTAAATACCTCGCAGAAGCGCAAAAATTCATCGGACCATTTTTTTGTAGTTTTCGAGATACGGTTTTCAAGACCCGAAAACTACATACGGTGGTTTTTCTTACTGTACCGGGAGGAAGAGACTGGGGGGATAGAGCACAAAAGGAGAAACGAAAGAGTTTTTCTTGGCGGCTACAACCGTTATTAATCATAAAATTTGACGTTCAATTTTATGTTTTTACAATAAATTTTAGAAATGCCGAACTTGAGTGGTTGATGCCCCGGAGAGATACGCATTTGTCTTGCGTTGAAACAGGTACTGACACAACGGGGATAGCCGATGGGTTGTGTATTGTAGTGTCGTATCGCCATATGCCTGCAGAACTTTGAGTAAATTCGCAACGACGCTTCGATAGGGCTTGATGAAATACAAAATCATAAAGCAATCGATCGGAGTGTGCATCAAGACGAAACAGAAGCAAATCACAGTGATAGTTGGACCGTTCCGAAACTCGAAGAGGAGCGCCATGATCAGCATCATGCATGGAAGGCACAAGAACACGGAAAATGCGATTAACTGAAAGACAAGGGAACGGAAGAGCATCATTTGAAGACGATAAGTGTAGATTGACCAACTGCCTTGATGTATGGACTGGTACATTAAGATCAGAATGCCGAGCCCAAGAAACGGAGTTGAGGAGACAACGATAAATGCGACAATAATCGTGTTCCTGATGTTTGTTCCATTTGCAAAGCAGATGATATCAGGATGCTCCTCGTAGATCTTGCCGAGTGATGGATCACGGGATATAAAAAATTGTTTCTGTTCTTCTTGATTGGGCAAATAGTAAATTACTGGACCCTAAAAATAGTGAGAAGGTTAGACCTCTTTGGCAGCTTCGAATATACATGTATATTTACAGGGTGTACCAAAAAAATGGAAACTTGTTTTTATAGCTATATTTTTTCGGAGAATCAAAATTCAGCAAAAGTAACGGTTATGATTAGTAACATAGAGCATTGTTTATAACATGTTCAATCTGTTTCACAGTGGCTGCCTTTGGTGGCGATATAGAGCTCCAAACGCGACGTAAAATTTTGGGGTCCGGGCCGCAGCTTTTTATGGGGAAATCGGTCCCGTTCTTGGCGCATCATTTACGTTGCGGCTCCAAACTTTTGTGGAGCATAGTACAGGTGCTGGCCTTCTATTTAAAAAAATATATAGTCCATTGGATTCAGATCTGGCGAGCAGGCGGCCATTTCGCAGGCGGGACAAAATCGGAAAAATCGGTCCCATTTCGGGTCCTGAGTCGATTTTGCCTTGTGAGCCGGCGCTGAGTCCTGTTGAAACCCCAAGTTTGCATTGCCAAGGTTCTGCTGAGCTCACGGAAGCACGACAAAACAGAAATTAACGCGGCGCTAGTATTTTGTCCCATTTATTCACGAAAAACATGGAATTCTTGCCGCTGGCACAAATTCCGCCTTAAGCAATGACGACCAGGATTTTGGTGGTATTTGACGATGGCCAACAGGCTAGGAGCCTCACTGAAGCAGATTCTATCGTTCTGGTGGTTGTGTATCCGCTAAATATTAAACCGCGAACTGAATGCGCTCACGTCTCGGAGCTGCGGCCCACCCGTTTGACTTTCCGACATTTTTGCGCTGTATGCACTTTCTCTCGACTTTAAAGATCTGAATTTTTTAGAGCTTGTATGACATGAGGTTGAGCTCGCCTTTGACTATTCGGCCGAGCGATCGGTCGCTGATGTCAGTCTCAAGGGCTAGTTTTTCTTGAAAATCGCGGATTTTGCTGTGGGGGATCTTTCGGTTGAAAGAAGCGCTGGCGGTGCATTTTCTTTCACTTCCTGGGCGCTTACTATCCGTATCAAGCTCCTTGGGCCTCGTGATTACTTTCGACACAACGTTCTTTCTATACCGAGCAAATTAACTTTTCGAACAGCTCCAAAAACAAGTCAAAAATCGAGGTCCCTTTGTTTGAAGTTCAAAAAAGACAGGTCGATTAATCGATATGGGCGTAAAAATCAAAACACTAGGACAGAAAAACACAGAGAATTTTGTAGTAATAAACTTCTTTGGCTACACCTAACCATTTTCGCGTCAGGACAAATGAAAAAAAGTTTCCATTTTTTTGGTACACCCTGTAATATAATTGTCCTCCGGAATTTATGGATCGGTCTGACTTACTAGTACTGCTCCGAGAATAACGACCATGAGTCCGACATGTCTGAGCACCACGCCGCTCCTTGTTTTCATATGAAGGAATGCTCTAGCCTTCGAATCCATCGCAAGCGATTTCACAAGAATGTATTCCAATTGGCAGAAGATGGCGCTGTCTTTCATTACACAAACGCCGACCCCGACAATAAAGTAAATTAGCTGCTGCGTGTGGGAGAGGGCGCTGGTGACGTTCATACCGTAGTAACAAGGCAGAGGGTATACAGATACAGCGCCAATTAACGCAGCCATAATGTCAAGCAGCAGCGACCTTGAACAATATCATTAGTGCGTTTGTGGATGGTAATCCCTTACCACGACAACTCGTTGATCAAGAGTAGTCGATAGAGTTTGATGCCACTGTTACTAGCTAAAAAACAGAATTTTCAAAAAATATACAACGTACTGAAAACCATGACGAGAATTGTGAAGGGAACCATCAGTACGGTAATCCCGAGTGCAGTGTCCTCAAACACCTTGTAGAAGTGGAGCAATTCAGCGGACGGTAGGTTAGATTCATTGAAGAAGATCCCCATAACAGACAACCGGAAATCGCGATTTGGGAAAAAAGAATTTTAAATTCTTATATGACCACCTTTATATCAACCCGACCTCGAGGAATACGAAACGCCAATCGTGAAGGCCTAGACGTTGATTTGTATAACTGTCTTTAAGAAGTACAAAATTGTGTTTTTACCCCGTCCACAGTTTCATAACATCTATGGAGTGTGGATTGGAGAAATAAGCCGCATTTCATGAAAATACAACGCAGAAGAGAAGATAAGATTACAATTTGCATTTTTTTTATTTCATTTCTTCAACAACTCCATGCGTCTGCTTATTTGGATGCCGGGTTTGTACCTTCGCCACTCCTACACTGCTACTTTTGAGTCGATCATATTTGCAAGTTCTGGTTTCCTGGTGCCTTTTACGCTGTGATCGTTCTTTGTAAGTCGCTCCAATTTTAATGTGGCCGAATGATTTGCTGATGTGGTTGGACAGGCGATTCAAGTCGGCCACAACGTCATCGTCAATCTTGAGGAAGTATTTGACGTTCGGGCAGAAGGTTTGGAAGAAATTAAAATCAGCACTGGTTATACTTTCTGGAAAATTTGACGGTAATAAAAACTTCCAGCCAAGCGACAGGTGTCAGATTCCACGGAACCTGGAGTTATACACGATGTGTCAACTTGATGGAATTTATGGAGAGAGATAGAGGGATGTCCCCTGTGTCAACTGTTTCCCCAGTTGTTTTTCCCCGATGTTCGAGAATGTTCGATGGAGAGATCCCGAAGCGGAGAGCCTGAATTACGACACCGTAACCTTCTCTGAGGTTTTATCCCATACTTTGATCAGTTGTTGCTGTGAAGTGCAGTCGTGTTATAGTTGTTGAGTTGTGTTGTGTTATTGAAGTTATTGTATTGCCTTATTTTATTGCATTGTTTACTATTTTATTGATAAATCATTTATTCGAGTTGATTTGATCTCATTCTCGTGTTCATCTTTAAGGGAACGATATCTTTCGATTACCCGACATCCACATACGCAACCTTCCACTTGGGAGGCCGAGTCATTTCAGGTAGAATAGGTAGCGTAAGGTAATCGACAGAAGAAACCACCGCAAGACCACAGCCAAGCCGTTGATTTCTTTTCTGACCGAAGGTGGAATCGGACAACAGGTATCAAGTGCGACGCTCCAATTTTCTTTGTATTTTATACACACGTCGGGAATAGGTTACTCGCGCTTTGCAGATTCTAAAAACGAACGACTTCAAATTTTAAATACTACTTAAACCTCACAGACAGCTGCAAACAACACAAAGATATGAGCAAAAATTTTGACCAAAACTTCCTGAATAATATTACAGATGAATTTATGAAATGGCACGTGTTTCTGCAGCACAGCGAAGCAATTCTCGGAATAACGGGCACAAAGGAACGGCTGGTTTTACTGTCTACATTCTGCTCTTCGATCTTGTTGTTTATTTCCACGATGTTACGAAAAGATTTTCACTGTGTTCCAGTTATGGAAATTGGGTTTACTCCCGTTTTTTTGCAGCTTCGCACCATGTACGAAACCATTAGTTATTACTAATAGTATATAAGAAATGCCGATGAAATGACAACAACTTTTTTCAGCGATGATTTACGAAAATTCGGCGGCCTTCTTGACTCAGCATTCGCTCCTCATTACCACTACTTTGGAGTCAATTTGCGCGCCCATTGTGTTGTACTTGACCCTCTACCACTCGATGCAGATGAAACGGTACCGATATTTGATTATGAATCATGTTGTGTGGAACTTGCTGATGAATTGGGCGTTGTGTTTCTACAAGCCGACACTGTTGTTTCCGGCGCCTTGTGTGACGTTTGCACCAGCGATTCATAACACTTGGTTCACTGGGATCAGTTCGATGTTCCTTGTCTTTCTAATCGTAAATGTGGAGATGGCGGTGGTTTGGAGTGTGTTTTATCGGTTCTTTATGGTAAGCGTTGCTAATAAGGAAAGAAAAATTTATGTCATTGTTTTATCGGCATAAAAATTTCGCTGCAAATTTAAAAAGTACAGGGTGGGGCATCTTCGTGGCCCGATTTGAATTGGCTATAACTTCTTTGGTTTTTGGCCAAGTGTTAAAATTCTTTTTTTCCCTGAATCCTCAGACATCCCCATTTTGTTCGATACCAAATGTGTTATACAAAGGTAAGTGTCATCTACAGTTGTTGGATTTATTCTTGGAGTTCATTTTTTCGGTTGTTTTTCGGCTGTTTTTTCGGTCTTGTCTGTGTGTTCGAAAATGGAGTGTGGTGTGGAATAATGTATGACATTTGGTATCAACAAAAATGGGGATGTCTGAGGATTCAGGACAAAAAATGAATTTTAAGATTTGGCCAAAAACTAAAAAAGTTATAGCCAATTCAAATCGGGCCACAAATATGCCCCGCTCTGTAAACGATGATCCTCACTTTAAATGCGATATTACTCTCTTGAAAAGCGAGGCAAACGACGAACAAAAATTCATTTACAGTCCTATCCTGGCCGTGTCAGCGACTTTGTTGAGCACCGCAGAGGCTCCATTATTGTGTTCGTCGTTGGCCAACTACTGATTTGCTTTTTCGCCCTCTCTCCTTTTATCATCTTTCAAAGACCTAGTAAGTTCACACTAGTATTTATATGAGCTCTAGGTGAAGCAAGAGAAACAGCGGAATTCCTCAAACGACTCCCACACCTGCAACAATACGAACGGTCCACCGGATACCTTTGTACGATGGATATTGAGATCACCGGGATCGTCGTTCTGTGTGGCGTAATGATGTTGCTGTTCTTCTTAATTGTTGGCATGACGATCCTTTTTATTTTGGGGCATCGAGTGACAAGTGTGAACAAAGGTGTGTTCTTTGCAGGGAATAAGCATCGAATGCACAAGATGCTATTCAAGGTCAGTACTATTATATACAAAATCGGGGCTGTAGAGGTGAATGTTAAAGGCAAAAAACCGCTTTATCTAGAGGCTGGGTAACGTGAAGGTCTTCTGATTGCAGGCCGTACTAGTTCAAGTCATTGTCGGCTTCATCTTTCAACTCGTGCCCACGGCTTTGATCTTGCTCACTTTTTACGCCCAATGGGAGGAGGGAACGACGATCGCTGCCGTTTGTGCGACGATGATTCAAGTCCACGGATGTGTGGACTTTATTACAATGATGTATTTCATTGTTCCCTATCGCCGGCAGCTGCTGAGATTGGTCGGAAGGCAACCAGGGAAGGTGTGGTCGGAGCAAACGTGAATTCGAAGACTATGGAGTGTGCAAGTGAGTGCTTAAATTGCGCGTGGGTTGTAGGAATAAGCTGGGTAATGAATATCACCAAAAATCATCAAGGGTTAAAGGAATTTGCTAGTCTTTCCGAGGAACGTAATAAAGTAGCCCTATGAAACCGGACTTTTCTCACGTAGCGAATTATTGCAAACATCAAAAGAATCTGAAGATTACTAATATTTCCATGAACAGCTTTTGTAAGCGTATACAAGAAAACATCAAAAATTTCCTCCCCGCTTAATCAACTTCGCCAAAGCAAGTAAATTATGAAACGACACATCTGTACAATTGAATTGCCTTTAGTTTCCTCCAGGTGCTAAGACTTCTGTGTGAGATTTAAAGGGCATTATTCTCGTATGTCGCCATGTTCTCCTGTAGCTTTCTTGAACAAGCTTAGACTATGATCTACGTAAATTCACTGGCCCCATTGACGGATTACGTTGTGCCTTTTGCCACAGCAATTGAAACTTTCTGCGCTCCCTTTATCATATACCTTGCCTTGTACCATTCAAGGCAAATGCATCGTTATCGGTATTTGATTGTGAACAACGTTGTTTGGAGCTGTTTATTCAACTGGGTGGTCTCTGTTATGGATCCGGTTTTCATGTATCCTTCGACATGCGTTCTTAGCTATCGTAAATGGCTGCATGAGCCGTATCGGTCCAGAAAGGCCATGATGTTTTACCTGACCTTCTTGGTGAATGTCATGTTTGCGATGATTTGGAGTCTGTTGTATCGGTATTGCATGGTGAGTTTTTTTGTGAGGAAATAAGCCAAGGGGATCTCATTAGTCATTAGTCGTTCGATTTTTGTCAGAAAAAAATGGATGATGACCTTTATAAAAAAGTAAAAACTCTGTAGAACAAAACATAGAACCAATTGATTAACCATGCAGAGGTTCATGATCGTTCTAAACCTCGTTGATAACCAGAGATTGCCACGGTCAAAATTTCGGCTCCGTCTAAGGCTCTTAGCTCCCAAAGCCGGAGCCAAGGCCAAATTTACGGCCCTGGCACCGGCTCCTGTGCAAAATTTAAAAAGGTCTCCGGCTCCGACTCCCGGCTCCTGTGCAAAGAAATTTTTTTCTATATCTTTTCAAAAATAAAGATTATTAGTGCCAGAGATGACATACCCAACGTTTTTGATCGGTTTATAATAACAAGATCACGAAATTTTTTCTGAACACTGAGAAGCATGGCTCCGACTTGGGGCTCGGGAGCCGGAGCCGTGGCAATCTCTGTTGATAACCCATTCCTTTTTATTTAAAACTTTTCACGCAATAAACAGCTGATAAACTTGCACTTTTAAGCTTTTGAACCTGAATTAGTTTGTCTTGAACCTGTAACAAGTTTATAGACCAGTATATACGCTAACCGTAAAATGGCTACTGCCTTAAATATTTTACTCGTTCCTTTAAAAAAACAACCAATAATTCCAGGCATTCCCCGGAAGGCTCAGTCAAATCGCTGAGAATGGGAAGACCGCAATTGTGATCATGATGACTGTTGAAGTTCTGTGTTGTTTCTATGCCCTAAATCCTGCATCTTTAATGAACATGCCTAGTAGGTGCCTCTCAGGAACCCCTTTTCAAGAACTCTTTTAGCCCCAGAAGACGACCGTGGCTGGTTTATGGAGCAGCTCCCCCAATTCCGAGAGATTGAGCCGGAAGTTGGCTATCTTTGCAGTCCAATGAGCAGACATACAAAATCTCGAGGAGTTATCGGTTTTTTCATCGTTATGTTCCTCATTGTTGGTGGGCTAATCATGCTCGGGATCATGTTCTATCGGGTTATGTTTTTTCTTTCGAAAGCCAACAACATAACGGCCATTCGGCTGCACAAAATGTTGCTAAAGGTAAGGAAATTTGTAGAAACGACAAGAAGTACGTATATTTTGTCACATAGGCTCTCAAAAAAGGAATTACTGCCTTTTTGTGTGGGGTTCTTGGCCGCTGGGGTAAACTTTTAATTCAATTCGCATCCAAAATTTCCTCAATTAAACACTGTATTGCGCTGTAATCGTGTTTATTGCAGGCTCTGACCGCGCAGTTAATCGTTGGAGACTTGTTTTTGCTCTTGCCCATTGGATTTTCGTTTCTGGCCTTTGGCAGCAATTGGGAGGAAGGAAGAACAATCTCAGCCTTCTGCCAAATGCTGATTCAAGTCCACGGATGCGTTGACTTCATTACGACAATCTATTTTATCACGCCATATCGAAGAAAATTTATCGGCATGTTCAAAAAGACGCCGTTAGACGTCACAAGGATCAGCACAGTTTCCGCGAAATATTAAATAGCTGAGGCTGGCAGTAGCAGGAATGAGAGGATACAGGGGATAAAAGCCGAAGCGTATCGTATCAACATCCATTGGATGGGGACTCCAAAGTCCTCCACCTTGAAAATTACTGTATAAAAAATACGCGTCATATAAACAGGTGCATTGACTACCACTACACATCACGTTTACAAATAACGTATTTAGGCGTGGATTTTTGGTTATCTTTATTTCATTAATAAGTGCAATGTATTTCCAACCAGCGGATGACCTTGCAAATACAGAGTGTCCCAAAAAAAGCAAACTTTTTTCATAGCTCCTGAAGAAAAAAATGGCTAGGTGCAGCCAAAAAAATTTTAATACTACAAAATTCTCCGTGTTTTTCAGTCATAGTGGTTTGATTTTCATGCCCATCGATAAAATCTACCTAGTTTTTTTCGAATTTCAAACAAAGGGACTTCGATTTTCGACTTGTTTTTGGAGCATCTCAGAGAATTTGGTTGAATATACCGTTCCAATTGCCACGCCCATTGTGTTGATTGGCAGCGTTTAATTATCTGGAGTTCTGCAACGCTCCTAGGACATCTTGTGCCTCCATGAGTCTCCGGAAGACTCCCATGCTAAAGGCCCTGAAGTGGTTCGTTACTCAAGCCTCTGTGATGCGATGTTTGTGCCCTGAAGGTGCATATTTTACGTCCAAATTCGATTAGAACGACCCCAGAAATAGCGCTCCATTATACTAATGCCTCTTAAAAGGAGTGGAAAATACTCATTCACAGCTGACATATTTGTTTACAAACAATTACAAGTACCACTGGGACCATATTCTTGTCTGTGGAATACAAAAAACTTCGTGCTATATTACGTTAATTGTGTCATATTTGAAAATACAATGCTTCTACACGATTCCCTGAAAGGCTTTGCAAACTACGCAGTGCCAATCGTAACGATTATTGAGGCCATTTGCGCGTCCACAATCATCTATTTGGCGCTTTATCATTCGAAAAACATGACACGTTATCGTTTTCTGTTGATAAATACGGTATTATGGAGCTGTTTGTTCAATCTGCTCACTTGCTTCTGCAAGCCGGCGCTTATGTTGCCATCTGCTTGTATTTTGTTTTACAACAGTTACTTTCACGACGCGAAAACGACAAATTTTGTGCTGCAAATTCTGATTTTTTTGTACGTCAATGTTCAACTTTCCGTTTTCTGGTCATTTCTTTATCGCTACTTTATGGTATGTCTTTGTCATTATCGTAGGGTCAAAAAAATTTTCCTCGTAATTGAACATAGTTCTAGGCGTATCCCGGCTGGATTAGTAATACAGTTGAGCATGGCCGAGCTCCGCTCTTCGTCATGTACGGTGGCCAGGTTCTACTGTATGTTGTGATGCTGGCACCGGCCCTTTTCTATGGAGTTCCAGGTAGGCCAAAAGCTCTTTTAGGCTTTTTTTGCAATACTATCAAATGTAATGGTCGACTTTATAGAATATAGAAAGGTTTATTAGAGAATAATTACAAGAGAATTACAAGAGCATTAAGAGAGGGGAAGCGCTTCCTCGAATGATTTCGAGGGCGGCTTATATATTATAGTAGATTGGGTTGTTGTAGTTTGGGTTGCACACATTCCAAACTTGGTTTTTATGAACTCAGTTTCTGCTGAGTCACTTTGTGTCCTCATCCGGTTTCGCAATCCGGAAGCCATCGATCTTATTTCTTCATTGTTTGACGCACGTAATGCGCGTGGTCATTAATCTTGAACTCCTTGGGCGTGGTCTCCTTTGACCACTCCATTCGTAGTGTAGCGGCGGTGTTCACGTGGTTTCCGCACGGCTTCCATTATTTGATCATTACACAAATGCCCTTCTCTTGAAGCCCAATAAAAACTCGATGCTTTCAGATCCAGCTCTCGAAGACGAGGCCATACGACAGCAGATCCCTCAATTGTACGGAACCAAACTTCTCACGGAAATTGGCTGGCATTGTGAGCCACATCCGGCGCCAGCGAGGAAATTCGCTCTCGTCGGGTTCATTCTGAACGTAATGTTCTTTTTCATTGGCCTAATCTTTTATTCGGTTCTGTTCAAACGTGTGTTGGTCAGCAAACCTGCCGGGGTTGCCGCAAGAAACACGCAAAGAATGCATTTGATGCTGTTCAGGGCAGTATCCGCTCAACTTTTTATCGCCAGCTCCATGCTGCTTCTGCCCAGTGCCACAATCCTATTGGCCTACTACACTGAATGGGAGGAAGGGACCACTCTCTCTTCCGGCTGTATTTTCTTGATCCAGCTTCACGGATGCTTTGACTTTATCGCCATGATCTGCTTTATCACTCCATACCGAAGGAAGCTGCAGCAGATTTTTATGAAGTCGCCGAAAGTGGGCAGTCAGTATAGAAATTATCGGACGAACAGTGTCAACGAGCTTGAAAAAAGAGGAGGCCTTAATGCCATCGCAAACTTTCCTATGTATAGAAAATGATGGGAGTTCACAGCTGCGCAATAAATCTTACCTGAAGATAATTGCAAATAAATTGACGAACAGTGTATACTAATTTCATCGTGTTTACTAACATAAGACAATGCTACGTACGTAGAAAACACATAGAGGTATTAGGTTGATACAAAAGTTTTTACACATTTTTTTGAGACACTTCAAAATAAAATTCCTAGAGCCTGATTGAATGTACGTTAAAACTGAAAGCATAGATGTATGGGGCAGAACATTGCAAAATTTTTGATTCGTGGCATTTTATTTTCTACAAGCTTCCTTTCAGAATATTTCAAAAATACTAAAAATTTCTCCGTTTGTGTCATCGTGAATATCCTGGGCCCTAGCAATTTTCCAGCCCACTAAAAAGTCTCGGGTTTTGGGTTATTCGTACTGGGGATGGCTGTAGTTTCTTCTGAATTTATTGCTCTACTTATATCTACACTGACATTTTTTGTAGCATCCCATAAAGTTGGCCGGAGAGCCGAGCTACCGATCAAAAGCAGATTTTTAAAAATTTTTTGAAAGGAGTTAGATTTTTTTGACTCGGCTGCCATTCAGGTTGTACAAAGACAGTATGCTGATGATACATTCGAAAAGTCACCAACTGAAATTGCCTTATAAGGTAGAAAAGTAGCATAAACTGCACTTTTAGGCGAATTTTTGTAATTTTTTTACTGGTAGGGCAAGAGGACCTTCAGCTTAGCGCGTCTAGCAACTGATAGTGTATGTCAAGTAGGATCAATTATTTATTAAATAACTAGGATACCGGGCGAGAGTAATGAACAGAAAACGTTTTTGTAAAAATCCCCTAAATTTCGTAAAATATTGGTAGATTAAAAAGATTCGATTTTTCTGCCGCATAGCTAAAGCTAGCGCGAATGTTTAGCATTGGCGTTGTAGTGCTACTCATACACTACAATAACAGAAAGCGTTATCTCTTAGTGCTTCTAATAGCTGCGTCTACAGGGTCTACTTTTGCCAGACCCTAATTTTTGATTTTTCGCACTAAAAATTTTTCGACTAGCCCTATAGCAAATTGTCCTCGATGCCATAGAGATTACATACAGGCATACCATATTCTAGAATATTAAGAAGATACAGCCACTCTAGACGTAACGCCGGTGGTTTACTTTTTCTTCCTTCGAGTAGTTAAGGTTTAACACGGCGCTACTACTACAAATTGCTAAGTTGTAAAAAGTTATTAATCTACTATAATCTACAAACAGCCCTCTTTCTAACAAGATATATATCAGGCCCACTGGCCTTGGTCTAAATTTTTTAAACTTTTTTAAAGACATGTGTAAAAACTTTTGTATCAACCTAATATAATCACAAAAACCAACTAGCCATATTTTTTTTACATTCCAAATATGACTTGTCCAGTTTGAAGAATTCTTTGCGTGACTGTGCGTGAGCTCTTGCTAACACGTCCAAAAGAAGTATTTGACGAACTACAGTGAGGCACCTGATCCAATGGCAAACACGTTTCATTTTGCATCCCGGAATGGATCAAAATCGCGCCCTTTCCTTCAAGGCGGGCTCTTCAAAGCGGGTTTTTTTAGCTTAGAAAAGGGAAGGGTTTGGAGACATTTTGCTCCCTTCCTCGATGCAAAGTGAGACGTTTTTTGCCATTGGATCCGGTCCCTCACTGTAAACCGTTTGCAAACGGTTTAGAAAATCACGTCGGTGGAGTGATTTTTGCCACATACACTGAAGTGGGGCTGAACGTTGAAGGGGAGTCGGAGGACGTTTAGACCACAAATCGTTGGGAACAAGTACACACACATGAACACAACTCTCTTTTATTCACGTCAACGGAACAACCGAAGAAGATAATGACCTAATTGGTGATAAAGTGTTCCTTTTATTTAACTCCATTTATGCTAATTTCCGTGGGAATTGTGGAGACTTTTGAGGCTCCACGACATACACTATGAGAAAAAAACAAAAGTTCACCTGAACTGTGCAACTTTTTGCATTTTGCATCATGCAATAGGCTTTGTTCGGGTGTCGCATAGTGACTTCTCTTGCACACGCATGTTGTAGAAATCACTCGAGCTACTTTACGAACTCACTAGTAAAGAAGTTCGATGACTTCAAAAACTAAAGTTTTCTGCTGTGTCAAAATAATTGTCGAATTTTGGTTCGTCCAATTTTTTCGTCATCCCTTTGCTGGGCCAAGTTGGGCGGGCTGACATTTTGCCCACTAGCCACGTAGGCACAGGTGAACATGTTTTTATATTTTTGGACGTTTGTTTTTTTAATAAGTTGCTCTTTGCGCTGTTCATTTTGCAGTTCTTCAACAGAGGAGAATTAGACTTCATCCATGATCTCTATCGACTATCCTGCGCTGATTACAAGCTTTGTATTGCCAACTGTCACTCTTATTGAGACACTGGTGGCCCCTTTGATCATCTACCTCGCTTTGTATCACTCAAAGCAGATGAAAAGATTCCGGTTCTTGATTATCAATAATGTTGCCAGCAGTTGTCTATTCAATTGGGCCCTATACCTGCTGCAGCCTGTGTTCATGTATCCGACAACCTGCATTATTACATATCGAAGTTTTCTACATGCACCATATCTGACTAGAAATTTGCTGAATTTATTTGTGATTCTGTTCGTAAAAGTCGGACTGGCGGTAGTTTGGGAGCTGCATTATCGATTTTTCATGGTAAGCAAACGCTGGAAGATTCCAAAAAATATTGGAAAGGGCTCATATAGGGATAAAAGTTGCAGCAAAAAAGACGACTGATTCTATACATAGATGGCGATTTTTTGCAGTTTTCCGATCTCTGTCGTTTTTCGAGAGCAAAGACTGTTATCCCGTATTCCGATTATTAACCTATGTTCCAGGTGATAAAGCCACCTAAATGTATAAATTATGAGTGACATATGCAATAATCATACCAAAGTTTTTAGTGATGTAACACGCATAATCATAATAAAAAACAGGCTCTAACTCAAAATGTCAGTCTGTCGGGAAAAAAGTGGCGTCACGCCTTAGAATCGCCCATCGTTTTAGCGACAGCCAAAAATTGCACAGTTCAAGATTCACTTCCATTTCATATCGCAAAAATAACTCTAGCGACTTTGCGAACAAGCTAGTAAATAAATTCTCCATTCTTTCAGGTATTCCCAGGGGTTCTCAGTGACCTTGCAGAGTCGTCCAAGGGAGCAATAATTTTTGTTGCTCTCTTTGAAGTAGTCTCCTTCGTCCTGGCAATCAATCCAGTGGAACTGTTCAACATTCCAGGTAAGTTGCCCATATTCTCAATACTTTCCGTGAGCTTCATAAAAATCAACGCACGTCAAACTGAGATAAGCTAAAATGGCTCGGTGAATGAATTGGCAATTCGCCAAAAATAGACTCGAAAAAACGTTCAGTCGGGGAAGAAATGGGGAGTTTTTGCGGCGAAAGAGTACGTTTTTCTCTGACTTCTCTGTGAAATCAAGACGAAGTGTAAAAAACCGATAGCAAAATGTCTACTCCGGTCATCGGACTCCTCACACGGGAAGAACCCCAAGTGCGACGCTCAGATTTTCTTTAAATTTTGCACACACGTCGGGAAAAGGCTTTTTAGCCATAACTTTGGCAGTTTCGCGCGGAAAAAATTATTATTTTTTGTGGAAACATTACCCTTCATGGTAGAAATAGGCATGTAACTTTCCGTGCCGAAATTCGGCAAGAAGTCCTAAATTTTAGCCAACTGTCGATCTAAAAATCTCGGCTGTTTCTGCAAAGCGCGAGCTGGGATTCTAGCATGTATTTTAGAAAAAATTGCTCTAAATCTGTGCCAAGTCTAATCAAAATCTGAGCGTCGCACTTGGTGTACTTCCCCTGTCAGTTTGACCTGCCAAGTGTCCTAAACATCCTGAACGCTGACAAATTCCAGACCCAGAGCAAGACAGACAATACTTCATAGAACAGCTGCCCGAATTGCGGGAACTTGAACCAGTCCTCGGGTATGCGTGCAAAGCCACAACAGCAGCTAATCAAGCCTGGGGCGTGATCGGATTTGGGGTCATGATGGTGCTGTTCTTGTACGGCGTGGTAATGGAATTCATCATATACTTTCGAGTCACATACTACCTCCCGCGGATAACCTCGATGACAAATTCTATACGCATGCAGAGGATGTTGTTTACGGTAAGTTTAGAGGCGAGGGAAATGGTTTGTCATTTCTCTATTGAAGAGAACACAAGTTTTAGAAGCAAATCACACAAATTTTACGGAGTTTTATTCCATTTCCGCCGCTTGGTACAGTAAATTTTTGAGTAGCCCAAAATTAACTGCAACAACGCAAGCTGACATTTCCAGAAATAACACCTGCATAGATAAATATCATTGTCAGCCGAAAACAACTGACAATAAAAGCCTTTGACATTTTTTACGTTCTCCTTGAACGCAATGTTTTTCAGGCGTTGACCGCTCAGTTCATCGTTAGTTGCATCTTCCTCCTCTTCCCCACAGCCCTAATCACGTTAACGGCGGGCTCGGCATCACCCGACGGCCGCACAATCTTTGCAATCTGCCTGACATTGGTGCAACTGCATGGCTGCATCGACTTCATTGCAATGATCTACTTTATCACTCCGTATCGCAGAAAGGTCATGGGAATTATGGGAGGAAGGCGCTCAGTCTTTGTAAATCCTATTAGTACTACCTCTGGCAAGAGAACGTTGGCATAAATTTAACGAAGACAAAAATAAGGAGGGAAATAATTTATAGGGGAAGTGCCACAAGTGCAACTCTCAGATTTACTATATATTTTCCACACACATCGGGCATAGGCCAAAATACCAAGCTCTGAAAGTTTTGGCTTTAACGGGGCAGCCGAAATATTCAGCGATCGTTTTGGCCGCTTACCACTTACAGTGACGGACCTGATCCAGTGAGCATTTTGCCACATTTTTTGGAACTTCCTGGATGCAACATGGTACGTTTTTTGCCACTGAATCAAGTCCCCCACTGTACGATTATCACGGAAAAAAATTATTTTTTTGCGAAAAATTTAGAACAGAAATTGGTAAAAAAACTTTTTATGCCAAAGTTTGTAAAAAAGTGACACATTTTTTCCAACTTTCGATCTAGAAATCTCAACCGTTTTTGCAAAGCGCGAGCTAGGAGTTTCGCATGTCTTCGCAAAAATATTTCTAAATTTGCGCAAAGTCTCTTCAAAATCTGAGCGTCGCATTTGTGGACTCCTGTTCGAAAAGCCCTGATTTCAAACAAAAACTTGTTGCACATCCTGTTACATCAAGGGATACAAATCGTTAGAGCACATACTGTCATTGCCAACCTGGACTGTGTGGATCGAGCTCACGCTGTAATTTCCACTTAGAACTTCGCCGTCAGGGCCCTCTCCGTCATAGGTTGTGACTTCACATTCGCCAAAATCCGAACGATGGTAGCTAAAATGAGCATCAAATTTGGGATATACAAATATATAAGCATCAAAGTTAGTATAGTTAAACGCGATATGTCATACCCCTTACAATAGATTGAAACTACGATAGAAGATTACATTTTCAATTTCTGCGTGTGTATTGTTCGAATTGCCGGTGCCTTTCCTTCGATATAAAAGTAGCCTCCAACCTCGGCAATGCTGTCACCTGCCTCGATTTGAGGTGAACCGTCAGAGACTAATACCACTCGCTGCAATAGGCCGTTATTACGGAATACCTCTTATTTGTGGATTCCGATTATTCCCAAAAAAAAGATGAATCAACGCAAAACTTACAATTTTCGACATACCGCTGAAGTCCTCCAGCAGCGGGTCGTACAGATAGCCGTTCACATCCCAGCCCGGCTCAGCCAGGGCGGGCTGCAATACAAGACACAAACCTGCAGCGACATGCAAACCCACAAAGGAAATTGCTCTCATAGCAAATGTGGCCTGAATTCAAACATCGGCTTGTTCCTTTTTCCGGTTCCGAAAAGAGCATTCATAACACCAAAATTTTTTGGAATGCTAATGTCTTTGGGAACGTCTGATAATTTAAATTGGAAAAATTACATGACATCCTCGTATGTATTTCGTAAAAAGGCGTTTAAAATTTTTAGCTAAAGCCAAGCCTTGCTGCACATCAACCACAAACAGAATGCCAAGATTTTTGGCATTCGGTTTTTTAAGGGTCTCTAATGTTTTAGCTTACTGTGCAGTGGGTAAAAAGCTACTCTAATTATGCTCATAGGAAAAAGAATTTAGGCAATTGCTTTGTTACGAAACGATTTCAAAAAGATGTCTAAAATATGGTTTTCAAATCTGCTATTTTTTTGGTCAGTCCGACTCGTTTCCAATTTTTAATTTGAGCCGCCCTTGAGCATCCTAACAAAGTGTGGCAAACAGCTTTCCCGATTTGAAACTTTCTTTGTGGTGCTGTTTTTAAGGCAAACTTTCAGAGTGAGAAAAACCTTTGCTGACTTTGGAAAATATATTATATACTTATTCAACCCCCGCAATGTCCAGGATTCCTATGGATAAATGTACTGCTGTCCATCTTTCAGCTTGAGATTCCATTCAGTTCCTTGATACTGGTTCATTCGACAAATCGCCCATCAAACAAAGATCCTGTTTCTTCGATTTACAATTTTTTATTCCATAGATAATATATTTTTTAAAGTACTCAGGACACAAATTTAAGTCCAATACTTTCTAGTTGGGCATTTGGAGTCGTCAGGTTCTCCCTTTGACCCATACATGACGTCAATTCGCAAATTGTCTGTGAAGCCCGGGTTGCCATAGAGAGTCTTGACTCGACACTGTCCAAAGTTTAAGCGATTGTATCTAAAAAGAATCAAGGTAAACTGGCCGAACAATCAATTGCTAATGTCATTAAAAACGGCATAGGTAACTTCGAAAAAAGGCGGTTGTTTTCTTACAGAAAATCGCTAAAATCGCCGAATTCTTTGTCATAAAATCAGCCCACTTTCTAAATAACGCCACTGAATAATCAATCGACTCACATTTTCAACATCTGTTTGTCAGATAAGCGTAGAAACGGCGGATCTCCATGAAGTTTAAAGGCGCCATCCCGGTCCGCAATTACTCGATCAACTCTGGTGTCCTCGATGGGGCCATGTTGATAGAGCTCGATGTACTAAATAAAAGCGCCAAAATCATTGAAAAATGAATAAAAAACCAACTAAATTTCCCAAAAAAATTATTTTTTTCAAGCTGCGCCCAGCTCTGAAGCGAAAACTTTATGTTGATGACAGCAAGTAAAAAAAGCTACAGTAACGGACCTGATCCTGTGGAAAAAAGTACCATTTTGCATCCGGGAAGTATTAAAAATGCGGCAAAATACCTCCCTCTCTAAGTTATAAAATTCAGATTTCTAAACCGCTCTTTTTGTGAGCAAGAAGGGAGCGCCCTTCAAAATTTTTTCACTTGGAAAAGGAAGCATTTTGCCACATTTTTGATACCTCCTGGATGCAAAATGGTACGTCTTTTGCCACTGGATTAGTTCCCCCACTGTAAGAATGTCACTGGAACCTGAGAAATTTTGGTAAGCAAAATTTTAAGATTTAAACCCAGCTTACGAGTTGGTATTGGCCAGCGAAATTGGTCATATTTTTGCGATACAGTCGACCATTGACCTGCCATTCAGCGAAAGCGACTTGGCATAGTAGGCCAGCAGTAACAAGGGCAGCCACCGCAAAACGCATTCTCATCAAACACTGATTTTGAACTTTTGAAAAAAGGTCAAAACTTTATTCAAATTTTTTGGGAATTCTCTGTCGAAGTAGGACAAAATTTAATATTTTATTCATTTTTACATTAAATTTATTTTTTCTGGATAAAAGTGCAAAAATTTTTGGCCTATCAGAATGGATACAAGTCCGTCGGACAGAGGCTCTCATTGTCCTCCAGCTCGTCGCCAGAAGTGACACTGTAATTTCCACTTGCAACTTCACCATACCAGCCATCGCCCTTGTAGATTCGCACTCGACAAACCCCGGCGTTGAAGCGGTGAAAACTGAAAAGGCACGATGACTCTTCACAGACAAGCAATCCGCATCTCAAAATCAATTTTTGCAACAACGCCTTACATTTTCAAGGCCTGCAAATCAGAGAGTCGCCAGAACGACGGCTCTCCTTGGATGTAGAAGTAGCCGTTTACCGTGGCGATCGTTGAGCCAACCGGAGTATCGGTAAAAACTCCGCGATTGAGAAGCTCAACGCGCTGAAATGAATGGAGATCTGTTTTGATGTTTCTAGGGGAGGGAGGGTTTAGATTGCATTCGGCTAACAGTTGAAGCACCCCAAGTGCGACGCCCAAATTTTGATGACACTTGGCAGACATTTTGATTAATTTTTCGAGAGTCCTATTTTGACGTGAATAAGTTCTCGCCTATTTCTGCCGCAGAGTTTCACAAAAAAATCAGTTTTTTCTACACAGAACTGGCAAGGATATGGCCCAAAAGCTGTCCTTCTTCCTGACCGCTTTCCGTGTTTCGCATGCTCTCTTGATGGAGCAAAACTACAGTGGCGGTCAAAAAAAACGGCCACCGGAAGATGATGCGCTCTAATGCAGAAAAGAGTGGCCGTAGGAAGATAAATATGGTATCATTGTAAAGCTTATGCGATACTAATATGGCCATTTTTTGACCAGGCCAAAAGAACATATTGCCGCAGCACATACTAGGCCAACACTACAGTACCACAAGTTTATAGTCACACGTCTAGTATTGCATAAGGTTTATAATGATGCCATATTTATCTTCCTACGATCACTCTCTTCTGCGTTAGAGCGCATCATCTTGAGGTAACCTTTTTTTTGACCGCCGCTATATGCTAGAAAATTCAAGCATTTCTCAAAGTTAGCTATAGAAAAATGAGAACTTCCAACCTAGGAAACGTTTTGTGAGACTTACTACTTGCGCCTCTCCTCGGAAATCATCCAACTCCGGGTTGTAAACATACCCACTGACGGTCCAAATATCCGCCTTCACATGGTGAAGCAAAGAAACAGCGAGAAAGACAAACACCGCCAATTCCATTTAGCGCTAATTTTTGTGAGTGCCAAGAAATATGTATGTTAAAAAAAACGTTATAATTCCAGTTTAATGGACAAATTTATGAGAAAAGATTGTTCAATTTTGATCCAAAATAACTCCTTTTTGATCACATAAATTTGAAAAGCAATGTCTACACAGTTAACCATATAACATTATCGTTTGCAATGCAAATCTGACATGTCACCATTAAAAGGCATGAAACGCGATTTTAGAAGCGTTATTAGTTTTACGAATCATGAGACTGCAGTGAGGCCATTGCCGCCGTAACAGCATTCCACCGGCCGCTGCGTCCCGCCACGAAACCCGAAAGGACACCGCAAACGACCGAGACGTGGATTTGGAAGGAAAGGAGGATCATAGTTTGGACGTCGCAGCCTGAGCGAGCGGTTGGCCGTCAGAGCGTGTGGACAAGCGGAATCTGTAGTGTATTGGCCATCGTGTGCTGTATGTATTGTCATACTTGGAGAAAGAGAGCAAAGAGATCATTGGTAATTGTTGGAGTGTTGGGAGAGCTTATCTTGGACAGCGTATTAGGCGACCCGGTGTCTGATCGTTTTGACGAGGAACCGAGGATCCCATTTGACGACCACTACTGAACGACGCTTCGCTGACGTGCGACTCAATTGCAATTTGGATAATTGGTATTTATTATTGCCTCTATTTTTAGGCCACAAGAACCTCAGAGAGGCCTATTTCGGCCATCCTTATCAGAAATTCGCGTGTAATCTGGTGTATTGCCTCAAATTTGACCCTTGATCTGGATATCTTGGGAATACTTTCCGAGGAATTCGAAGTTTATCCCGAGGAAAAAGAAGAGGTGACAAACACCGAAGTTCTAAACTTTCGAAAAAATGTCAAAACTTCATTCAAATTTCTGTGTGAATTCTCCTTCGAAGTGGGCCATTCTGGCATCACAAAAATCCACAAATTATTTTACAGATTATTTTACTCAAACACTATGGCTTATCTGGCTTAGGCGAACATTTTTAATCACCGACTTTTCTCTGAATACAGACATGAGTTTCCTTCTATAGGGCGTGATGAAATAGATCATTGCCAGGAAGTCGGCACAGCCATGCAGCTGGACGAACATGACTGCAACGGCTACAATTGTGGTCCCCTCTTCCCATTCGGCATACAATGCATACACCAAAACTGCCGTGGGAATCAGCAGCATGACATAGCCGATAAATAGTTGGGCTGAGACTGCCTGAAGATCGGCAATTACGTTGACTGAAAGATGAATGGCTTTTACCTTGAACAACATACGATGCATTCGTTGTGTACTTCCCATGTTGAATTGTTTCGACTTCTGGATTATCACCCTATGAAACAAAATGGAATACAATATAATTCCGACAACAAAAACGCATCCCAATAAGACAAATCCATAATACGCGATAGATCTTGTCGTTGGGACTCCAACAGCGCAAAAATGCCCGAACTCGTTTCGTTTTTCAAAAAGTTGTGGGAGCCCCTGAAGAAATGCGGCATCGTCGACGGCTGTGTCTAAAATGTAGCATTTAAATGGGATTTAGGCTTGCTAAAGCATCTGAAATCGATCGGTGAAGGGACGGACTACTGGCAATGGCTCATAAAGTCCTAGCGCACACTACAGAGCATATAATCATTTTGAGCCATTTCACGACTCTGTTTCTTTGTCCGAAGATGATTTATGGCCTCCGCCGATTCTTCCGCGTCGGCGTAGAAAAAAATCTTTTTAGGCAAGAAACCGCCCATATTCTTCTTTCTACTGCAAGAATTTTTTTTTATATCATGGCTGAGCGCCGAGAAATCGACGAAAAATTTCCGCGGAATTTCTTGAAACACCCTGTAAAATGAAGAGAGCGATTGAAAAATTGTGAGTAGGAATAGTATCTGTTGGTTGAGAAAAGGGAGTTTTCTTAGCCTAGAGGCTCAAAAACATGCTAGGATGGGTGCGAAGCTTGAAGATTTCTAAAAAACTCGCATTGATACACTTGCCCGGTAATCCAACAGTTGTGAAGGGAGAAAAGCAAATAAAGTGGACGAGGATTTGCACAATTATCATCACTCTTGGCGCGGCCTTTCCGCTCTCCACAGCGTTTCCGATTCGTCCAGGATAGGCCTAAAAATATGCTGATCGTGAGAATAAATGTCTAATCAAGAACCTATTGAAAGTTTCTCCGGCCATACCATGAGATATCGATACATGAAGCTCCACACCACCGCCATTTCAACATTCACAAACAACGCCATAAGCAATGCTGTCCCAACTAAATACGCTGGCCCATAAGCCATCAATGGGTTGAGATATAGAATACAGGCGGCTGGGAAGGTGAACTGCGGCTTCATAAAGAACGTTATCCAATCGAAAAGAAGGCTCCAGAAGACCGTGTTGATGATCAGGTATCGATATCTCTTCATTTGTTTGGAATGATAGAGAGCTAGGTAGATTATAGTTGGAGCACACACTGTTTCCACAACGGTAGCAAAGATCAACGCGTAGTTAGTTAAATTGGAGAGGTTGTTTTGAAAAATCATGACAACCTAAATTCGGAGTTCCGAAACAGAATATATAAATGCTTCGATGGACCTCTTGGTTAAAACAGACAGGCGGAGGAAGCGAAACAATAAGAACCTTGGCTAACCGCAGGGAATAATATAAATATATTCTAACACTTACAGGTGCTCATTTATAATGTTAGACATATTGCAAACTTGATGTCTGAATAAAATGTTTTTTTTTATTCCTCAGGAAGCTAACCGCACCCTGATCAACAATTGGTCCCGGAACGGCAATGCGCGACCTCTTGTATGAGAGCTAATGACAAAAAATTGCGCTAGCGGGTCTCGAGCCTATCCCGGCAACGCGGACAAAAAGATTTCGAGGGCCCTCCGCCATTTGGCTCTTGCTCCAAAAGGTCTTTCGGAGCGAGGACTATATCGCGGCAAGAAGTCCTTGGAACTTTTCGCGACACCCAAATCGCGAAAAGTTCCAATCGGATGCAAAAAAAGCAAAATTGCACGGTAGACAAGCACCTCTTGGCTGGGCTTCCGGTCATAATTTACGGTCAACTTTCTCAAAAAACAGGACCCAGATGCAAACATTTTTTAGCTCTTACCGTTTTTAAATATGCAGAATCAGAATATACCGGTCTCATAGCTGAACTTATTTCCGATTTTAACGACTTCCCTCGTAAGTGGACAGAGGAGAGGAGCAGTTATTGGAAAACTGTGAATGGAAGAAGAAGGTTGGTGGAGGAGAACGATGTGTTGCATTGTACGAGCGGCCATCTATAAATTTATCAACGGAGACTTTTGGAATCGGCATTTATTACGTGGGTCCTCTAAAAAATCGACGAGATATTTTAGAGGATCGGTTCGAGGGAGGGTGGCACACCCTACGCAGGCGTACTTTCAGACCTCAATAATACATTCCCCGGCATTTTTTATGAACTTTCTGACGGCTGTAAATACAAAACACACTTAGCATTTGCAAAATTCGCAGAAGAAATACAAAAGATTTCTTTTATTTTTAAACCTTGGCCTTTAAAGCCTTGACAGAAAACGGGGCACTTTCCGGGAACCGTTTTGGTTGAGCGTTTACCTTTAGACACTTTTTGATTGACAGTTATAACCTTTCGAGGCGAATGGGCAAGATAGTTGACATTTTACTATCTAGTGTACGCTGATTACAAATATATACGCCTCTGTATATGGCCTTTTTTATGGGCAACTCTAAATGGGTTGATTAATTCAGTTAACTCGGGGCGCTTTGGTTGACATACCTTTGGTAAAACGTCGACATGGAGACAGATCACATTGTGTCACGAAGAGATTATATTTGTCAGTTGGGTATACCCTCTAATTTGTCAACACTTTCCTATTCGCCTCGAAAGGGTTAGCTACAGTGTGGGACCTGATCCAGTGGCAAAAAACGTACCATTTTGCATCCGGGAAGTTTCAAAAATGTGGCAAAATGCTTCCCTCTCCAAACGAAAAAACTCCGATTTCAAAAGATCTTTTTGTGAAGGAAGGGCGCGCCCTTCTAAACGATTTTTTTCGCTTGGAGAGGGAAGCATTTTGCCACATTTTCAATGCTTCCCGGATGCAAAATGGTACATTTTTTGCCACTGGATCAGGTCCGTCACTGTAGATGTTTCGTTTTTTCTTATTTCCAGCAATTCATGAAATTTGAGAATGATTTTCCCATCATTACGAACATCGCTCTTCTTCTCAGCATTGTCATCGAGACAATATGTGCGCCAACGATCATCTACCTGGCCGCCTATCATTCGAGACAAATGAAAAGATATCGGTATTTGATTATCAACACGGCCGTCTGGAGTCTGCTGCTCAATTGGTTTATTCTAATCTTTCAACCGCAATTCGAGTTCCCCGCCGTCTGCCTGCTTTTCCGGACAAGCCTGTTGACCTCGCCGAATGCGTCGGTATTGGCCGCCGCGGCGCTGACGGCGCTCTACGCGAACGCCGGGGTGTCTGTGGGATGGAGTTTTTTGTATCGATATTCTATGGTAGGCGCAAAATTACACTTGTTTATCATCTCTTTGCTAGGCATATCCAGGCAGGATCAGCGAGGCCGTAGAGAGAGGAAAAGAAGGTCCGATTATTCTTGCGACCGGTCAAATTTTGAGCCATCTGGCCTGTTTCTATCCCTTCTACCGGCACGGCTTCCCAGGCATGTCCTTTTCTGCCGTATTCCCTTCATACGTATCCCATTTTTAGCCGTTGAACTCGAGGAGGCGGCGCTTTACAAAGAACTGCCCGACTTGTTCGACCAGAGACATGAATTTGGATACCTGTGTGGCACGGTCGCCTCTGGGACCAGAAGAATGATGTTTATCGAAGTGATCCTGATTCTGGTAGTTATGGCCACTGGCCTGATTTTATATGCAATTCTGTTCAACCGAGTAATCATTCAAAAATCTCGTTTCAATTTGGCCAGCACCCAGCGGATGCATCGCATGTTGTTCAAGGTAAGTGTACCCTTAACTGTAAAGGTTTTTAGGCCCTCTCGGCCGAAATATTCATTGCCTACACTATGCTGATTTTCCCGACGGTAGCCATCTTATATTCGCTGCATGCACAATGGGAGGAAGGGACGACGATCTGCGCCGTTGCCCTAATGGTTGTACAACTTCATGGAGCTGTTGATTTCCTTGCCATCATATACTTTATCACACCTTATAGACGGAAGCTTCTTTCGTTCTTCAAAAAGAATAGGCAAGAGGGAAAAATCAGCGCAAGCTGGTCGCAAGGGCTCACGAGGGAGACGCCAACAGTTTTGAGGGTTCCATAAGTTCACAAAAAGAGTCTGCTAATATTTGGTGAAAATAAAATTTTCATTACATTTTAATACAGCCCGACAATTCTTATAAAAGTTGAGTCTTTGTCGTGCAGTGTACCTCAATAATGGAAAAAGTTCCTTATTCTGGCCACAACAAAGGTATTCTGCGAACTGCGCCCAAGTTTGGGAACTAAAGTTAGGAAAAAAGGCTTCGACCTAACTGGCACTGAAGCTCTATAGTTTTAAGGGTACCTGCGAATTGGATGACGACTCATTTAGTTCTATACGGAGGCAATGTTTAGTTCCGAACATATTTCATCGTATAAAATGCTACAGCCGTTTTTGTAGGGCAAGGTGGTAGGCAAAAAAGAAGATACCTCCCTAACTACATCCACTGTCGGGCCATTGACAACGATGAATTGAGCCTGCACGCTAAATTTGGGCCAATTCTTACCAGTTTCCGCAAAGTTATGAGTTATGGCCAGAATAAGCAACTTTTACCCTCAATAATATGTAAGTCCTGGTGCTTGCTATTGTCTTAGTCCACCATCGGTCTTTTAAACTGGATACAAGTCAGCAGGACACAAACTATTGTCACTTTCCTCTTCATCATCATAAGTGGCGCTGAAATTTCCGCTAGTCACTCGGCCCCACTCTCCTCTTCCACGATACACATTCACTCGGCAATTGCCCCGATCGAAACGGTGATAACTAGAGAGTCTTCTGTTGAGATGCACAGCTCATTCTTACATTTTTAGTCTCTGTCCATTATCAATCCGCCAAGGTGCGGGATTACAAGAAATCTTGAAGAAGCCAGTCGAGTCGGCGATTGTAGAGCCACAAAACTTGTTTTTGAAGAAGCCCCAATCAATCAACTCTACTTTCTGGAAAGTAATTTTGCGTTATAAGCAAATTTTAGACCATATAAAGCTGGCTATGTAATATCATATGCATATACGTATGTGATAACCTCACCACTTTGGGAAGGCCTCTAAAATCATCAAGTCCTTCATGATAAATGTATCCTTGAATCGTTTGCATTGCAGCTTGGGCTGACAGACCACCAAACAGAATTAAAAGTAAGTCTGCCCACATAATTTAGAGCAGTCAGTTCTAAATGAGGTGATTTTAAAACACACGCGCCGACGATCCAATGGAAATTTGATAGAATTTTTTAATCAGATTGAATGAGAGTCGATCATAAATGTAATTGACAATATACCAAATGTATTGCAGATATTTGGAAAAAAGTTCCTTATTCTGGCCACAACACAGGTACTCTGCGAACTGCGCCCAAGCTTGGGAACTAAAGTTAGTAAAAAAGGCTTCCACCAAACTGGCATTGAATTACTATAATATGTATGTAGCTCTATTGTTTTAAGGGTACCTACTAAGGGGATGACGACTCATTTAGTTCTATACGGAGGAAATAAGTTTAGTTCCGGACAGGTTTCATCGTATAAAGTGTAAAATCGCAGGCTGCAGCAGTTTTTGAAGGGTGAGGTGGTACGTAAAAAAGAAGGTAGCTCACTAACTAAGTCTACTGTCCGGGCATTGACAATGAGGAATTGAGCCTGCACGCTAAATTTGAGCTAATTCTGACCAGTCTCCGCAAAGCTATAAGTCGTGGCCAGAATAAGGAACTTTCACCAGATATTTTTATGCGTTGATATTATCAACTTGCGCTTTGCCGAAAAAAACTTGACAAATAATTTATTTCCATACCAAACTAGCTGCAAAAAAGATAATACTTTTGGAGACCGCTCACATTATTCATGAAGATTCCCCATTCACTTTGGATAAAGTTCATCTGGGCACAAACTGTCGTCGCTCACAGGTTCATCATCGTGCAAGGCACTGTAATTTCCGCTAGCCACTCGGGCCCATGCCGCTCTTCCACGGTACACGTTCACTCGGCAATGTCCATTGTCGAATCTGTGATAGCTGAAAATAAACATAAGAGAAAAAATTCTTTACAACTCGAGCAAACACCCACATTTTCAACCTCTGAACATCGTCAATTCTCCAGTTCGTGGGGTTGCATGCAATCCGCCACCAGCCATCCCATTCGGCAATTGTGGAGCCACAAATTGTGTCAGTGAAAACTCCATAGTCAACGACTTCAACTCTCTGGAAAATGAAAAATTAAACTCAAAGGAAGGCTATCAAATTCCCCAAAAAAAGCTCTTTATTCTCTGTTAACTCACGACTTTCGGATATCCCCTAAAGTCGGGGAGATGCTCGTTGTAGATGTATCCTTGGACATCGACCTCAACGGCGGCAACGAGCAGATCGGCGAAGAGAAAAGCAAAAAGTTGCGGCCTCATTTCGCGGTGGCTTGAATTCGAAATGAGTCGAGGTCAAAAAAGATGAACTCTTATCCATGTTTTTCGTTTTCAAAATCATTTTTTGTGATGATAAAACGAAACTTTGGGTAGAGAGTTAGTATGACATTTTCTGTATGTTTTAGAAAAATTAACTGCGGTTTGTGTCATCTGAAATATTCAAAAAATGTAGTAGATCAAAAAACGGCTCAGCATGTTAAAAAAAATTTCTTTTTATTTCTCGCCACAAAAAAATTTCGTTTTATTTTCTTCCAGGCTCATCTGGCCGTTTGTAAATTTCTTCTGGACACAAACTCTCATCCTTCTCCAGTTCGTCGCCCTTTAGCGCATCGTAGTTCTTGCTCTCAACCATTCCACCGCGGCCCCTTCCACGATACACATTTACGCGGCAGTCCAAGGCCTCGAAACGATGGTATCTGAAAGCAATGATTAAAGCAATGGTTGGTATTTTTAGTCCTCGGCAAAGCAACGTAAGGGTAAGGTGAATACGTGTGTAAAGTGCATCAGCTTACAGTGACAGACCTGACCCAGTGACAAAAAACGTTCCATTTTGCATCCGGGAGGTATCAAAAGATGTAGCAAAATGCCTCCCTCTCCAAGTGAAAAAAACAGTTATGAAGGGCGCTCCTTTGAAATCGGAGTTTTCTCACTTGAAGAAGGAGGTATACACATTTTTTGATAATTCCAGGATGCAAAATAGTTCGTTTTTTGCCACTGGATCAGGCCCGCCACTGTAGGAGCTACGTATTTTCTGGGCGTCTCACATTTTCAACAGTTGAACATCATCGAATCGGAAATCGGTGGGATCACATTGAATGTGGAAGTAACCGTCGGCCCTAGCGATTGTCTCTCCACAAATCGTGTCATAGAAAACGCCATGGTCGACTAAGACCACTTTCTAAAACTTGCAGTTTTTTTTTTGATCTCCAAAACATCAAAAGAACTCTCGCAGTAGTAAATCTCTTACCACATACGGGTATCCTGTGAAGTTCCCGACATCTTCATTCACAATGTACCCTTGAACATCGTATTTGTATGCTTGGAGAAGAGGAAAACTAATCAGAGGAAGAACAAATAGACACCACATAATTTTGAATGGTTTGGTGATGATTGTGTGTTTTAGTTCTCGTTTTTATGGTGCAATTAGACACTCTGCGGTGATGAATTATTCCTTTTATATAATTAGCTTCACGACTGGCTTATTTGCATGGATTTGTCAGCATTTACAAGCGTCTAACAGGAGTTGAAACCTTATTTTTTAAAAGATAAAAAAACATTTTTATTATTGTTTGATAAAGTCATCAAAACAAAAGACTCCGACTGCTATGTAAACTGAGCCATCAGTCATAGAGATCGGTTGGACACACGCTGTCATCGCTCGCCGGTTCGTCACCCGTAACGGCGTCGTAGTTGCCATCCTCCACTTTTCCGCTAATCGCCGTCCCACGATACGAATTCACATGGCATCTGCCCAGTGAAAATCGGTGATAGCTGAAAGTATTTAAGTGTGGCATTGCTTTGCTGAACGATGTTGCAAAATCCAAGCTTTTTACGGTGTCTCACATTTTTAACTTTTGATTATCGTTGAACCGAAACCCGGTTGGCTCACATTCGATGCGAAAGTAGCCGTCAACAGCGGCGATTGTCTCGCCGCAAGTAGTGTCATACAATAGGCCGACGTCGACCAGGACGACTTTCTGAAACACATGTTTTGATAAAAAAATTTTAAAAAAAGTCTTGAAATGCTCCCTAGTGTCTTCAAAATCAACCAGAAGTCGATTCTTATTCCATTAGGAACCTACAATTTTCGGGTATCCCGAAAAGTTGGCAACTTCGTTGTTGTAGATCTTCCCCTGCACCTCCCTGTATGCGTGAACAGCAAGAAAATTACAAAGGATTGCAACCAACAGACACCCCATCATTTTGGAATTCGCCAGAGGTGCCTGTTAATCTTCCATTATATAGTATACGATCATTTTTATACGCTGAATTTTATTTGTTTTTGAATAAAATTGTTTGATAATAAGCAATGACACCGTTCCGAGCGCCAGCGATGTTCCTGTGGGAAGTTAGCATCTAAATATTTGGTCTCATCGATCGAGTTATCGCTTATTATAGGGTGAACCAAAACTTCTTTCCGATTTATATCTATATATATATCTTTTTTTTCAATCGTTTTTTTACAAAATAAACGCCTTTATATGAATGTAATAGGTATATTTTTAAAGGCCTTGAGCTGCTTTATCATAATACGTATTAAAAATTTTAATTGGTCTCTTATTTAAAATTTTTTAACTTGTTGAAAAAACATGGAAAAAACCGAAATTCGTGTTCTTTTACGTCATTACTGGAAACAAGGCTTCAACGCAACTGCAGCAGCAAAGAAGATATGCGAAGTTGAAGGCGACAATGTGGTCTCAGATTGTACTGCGCGAAATTGGTTCAAAAAAATTGGTTTTTATGACTGTTAACATCTTTAGTCATCGTTTTCATCAATGTCAACTGCTGTTTATTACATTATTCTAGCTTTTACAAAGATTTTTTTAATCGTACATTTCGTAAGGGCACGTGTCATCGTTCGCACTTTCGTCATCATGATGAATTGGGTAGTTGCCGTGCGCTTATACTCGTCCAATATAGTTGGTTCCCTTATAGACCATCTTTCTGCAACCATCGCCGTTGTCGAAACGTTGGTAACTAAATTGTTTTTTTGTAGGCCATACACTTACACTCGCAATTCTTGCTTTGCATCCCATCGAAGGAAGGGAGGCGAGCATACAATATGATAATATCCCATCTTGTCGGCCGTTGTGGTACCGCAAGTTGTGTCGTACAAAAGGCCAACGCTATCAAGTCAACGCGCTAAAATAACACTTCCACAACAAGGCTTTAATTATATATAGTACAGTGGCAGACCTGATCCAGTGGCAAAAAGCGTACAATCTTGCACCCGGGCAGTATCGAAAAATGTTGCAAAATAGTACCTCCCTCTCCAAGTCAAAAAAATCCCGATTTCAAAAGCGTGTCCGTTCTTTTTGTGAGGGAAAGGCACCCTTCAAAACAGAGCTTTTTTTTGTTGGAAAGAGAGGCATTTTGCCACATTTCTTGATACTTCCCGGAATTTTAGTATACGATTGCCGTTTGAGACCCTTGAAATTGTTCATTATCGACAATATCGACAGGTTCGGTTCTATAGATCAGACCATTCTATTGCATTTACAAATACGTTCATTGTTTTATAAAGTCATCAAAAGAACTGTTATATAATCCGAATTCTCAGGGATAGAAATCGGTTGGACACAAGCTGTCATAGCTCGCCAGGTCGGCACCCGTAACGGCGGCGTAGTTGCCGTCCTCCACTTTTCCGCCAACCCCCGTCCCAGGATACGCATTCACTTGGCAACTGCGCAGTGCAAATCGGTGATAGCTGAAAGTAATTGTGGCATTGCTTTGTTGAACGCTATCGCAAAACCAGGCGTTTACAGTGACTCACATCATCAACTTTTGATTATCGTTGAACCGGAAGATCGTTGGCTCACATTCGATGCGAAAGTAGCCGTCAACAGCGGCAATTGTCTCGCCGCAGGTAGTATCATACAACAGTCCGACGTCGACCAGGACGACTTTCTGAAACACAAGTTTTGATAAAAAAAAATAAAAAAAGTCTTGACATGTTGCCTAGTGCCTTCAAAATCAAAGAAAAGTCCATTATTATCCGATTAGGAACCTACAATCTTAGGGTATCCCGAAAAGTTGGCAACATCGTTGTTGTAGATCTTCCCCTCTACCTTCCTGTATGCGTGAACAGCAAGAAAATTACAAAGGATTGCAACCAACAGACGCCTCATTTTGGAATTCTCCAGCAGTGCCTGTTAACCTTCCATTATATACTATACGATCATTTTTATACGCTGAATTTTATTTGTTTTTGAATAAAATTGTTTGATAATAGGCAAGGACACCTTTCCGAGCGGCAGCGATGTTCCTGAGGGAAGTTAGCATCTAAATATTTGGTCTCATCGATCGAGTTATCGCTTATTATTATATTTACTTTTATGACATGTTCCTGTGTGAAATATTATGCATCATACATACATTCATATCTGTTATATGTATATTAAAAATTTAAGTCATTGTTTTTCATCAATGTCAACTGTTATTTATTACATTACTCTAACCTTTATAAAAAAATTTTTAATCGTAAATTTCGTAAGGGCACATGTCATCGTTTGCACTTTCGTCATCATTATGAATTGGGTAGTTGCCGTGCGCCTCTACTCGTCCAATATAGTTGGTTCCCTTATAGACCATCCTTCTGCAACCTTGGCCGTTGTCGAAACGTTGGTAACTAAATTGTTTTTTTTGTTGGCGATACACTTACACTCGCAATTCCTGCTTTGCATCCCATCGAAGGAAGGTAGGCGAACATACAATATGAAAGTATCCCGTCTTGTCGGCCGTTGTGGTACCGCAAGTTGTGTCATACAAAAGGCCAACGTCTATCAAGTCGACGCGCTAAAACAAGACTTACGATTACATATAGACAGAAAAGACCCAAAGAAACCTTGAAGTGTTATATGCATAATCAAGCCATTTTACAATTGAGGCTTCGTGGTATAAAAGTTAATTTTAGTGTACTATTTTCGCCTGAGGCTCTTGAAATTTTTCGCTATCGACAGGTTTGGTTCTACAGGTTAATCTATTGAATTTACAAATACGTTCAAATTGAAGCTTTGGGTGCGGCTCACATTAAGGGATCTGATCCAGTGGCAAAAAACATACCATTTTGCATCCCAGAAGCGTCAAAAAATGTGGCAAAATACCACCTTCTCCAAGTGAAAAACTCAGATTTCAAAAGCGCGTCCGCTCTTTTTGTGAGGGCCCTTCAAAACAAGGTTTTTTCACTTGGTGAGGGAAGCATTCTGTCACATTTTTGATACTACCCGGATGCAAAAGATCCATTTTTTGCCACTGGATCAGGCCCCCCACTGTATTATTAACTTACAACTTTTGGCAATCCGCTCATATCGGGAACGCCATCGCGCTTAGCGTACCCTTGTACATCACAGGTGTCGGCTGCGGTTTGCCAGACCCCAACGGCAAATACGAGCGTGACCAACGACAGTCTCATGATTCGTAAAACTAATAATGCTTCGAAAATCTCGTTTCATGCGTTTTAATAATGACACGTCAGATTTGCATTGCAAACGATGATGATATATGGTTAACTATGTAGACATTGCCTTTCAAATTTATGTGGTCAAAAAGGAGTTACTTTGGATTGAAATTGAACAATTTTTTCTCATCCATTTCTTCATTAAACCGTGAAATATAACGTTTGTTTAACATACATATAAATTTTCTTGGCCATAAATTTTTATTTTCACAATATTACTTTTGCCTGTAGCAAAATTACTTTTTTATTGCAATATAAAAACGGAGGGGTTTTAAAAATTTTTGAGGCAAAAATGCTGCAAAAACTGATCATCCTCTCTGTTCTAACTGTCTGTCTTGCGATGGCGTGGTTGAGCGACAACAACAGAATGGCGGCAAATTATATGGCCCTCGATCAGGGAGATCCGTGTTCGAGCAACGATGAATGTGCGGAGGGATGTCTGTTCAAGGTTGGAACTTGTATTTTTGGGAGGTGCATGTGCTGGATATAGTTGAATTTAAATAATTTTATAACCAACAATAAACAGTTCTAAATGAAATAGGATATTTCTACAGTATGGGACCTGATCCAGTGGCAAAAAACGTACCATTTTGCATCCGGAAAGTATCGAAAAATGTGGCAAAATGTCTCCCTCTACAAGTGAAAAAACTCTGTCTTGAAGGGCGCGCTTTTGAAATCGGAGTTTTTTCACTTGGAGATGGAGGCATTTTGTCACATTTTTTATACTTCCCGGATGCAAAATGGCACCTTTTTTGCCACTGGACCAGGTCCGCCACTGTATATTTCTCAATTTGTGCCTGTGGTCTGTCTAGGTTGAAAATAAATTTTTATGCAATATGTTAAGCCGCGGGTTGCAAGCGCAGCCATGATATTGAACTTTGGACCGACGAAAGTTCTGGATAGCACCAAATCGATCAACACGGCTCACCCAAAATACAGGACAGGGTAGGCCACTCGAAACTCCCAACCTCTTTACAGATATTTCTCCGCCAATAATGCACCAATTTCTATAAAATTTACGTACAGTGAGGGACCGGATCCAATGGCAAAAAACGTCTCCTTTTGCATCCCGGAAGGGACCAAAATGTCTCCAAACCCTTCCCTTCTCTAAGCTAAAAAACCTCGCTTTGAAGAGCCCGCCTTGAAGGAAAGGGCACGCTTTTCAAAGCGGAGTTTTTTAGCTTAGAGAAGGGAAGGGTTTGGAGTCATTTTGGTCCCTTCCGGGATGCAAAAGGAGACGTTTTTTGCCATTAGATCAGGTCCCTCACTGTAAGTTTCACCGATTTCGGGCTCGAAAATTTGGAATGAAACTGTAAAAGGTCAGTACGGGTGCCTCCGGGAAGTTAGGCGGGCCATATTTGGTGGACAAAAAATGGAGTGTCTCAGCTTCAATTTGACATAAATTTTATAGAAATTGGTGCATTATTGGCGGAGAAATACTTGAAAAGAGGTTGGGAGCTTCGAGTGGCCCACCCTGTAGAGCAAAAATGTCTGATGCAAACTTTTGAATTTGGCCAAAACGGAGTGTCGCGGACATGTCGCAACTCACAAAAAAATAAAATAATTCCGAAAAAAGAATATTTTTCGGTCGGAAAAAATTCATTTTGAAATTTCCACAGCCGTTGTATGCTAGGCAGAAAATTGGCGAACACTTATGTAATAATCAAAAATTAGATATGTTTATGCGTATTAATATCTTGCAAATTACCACAAAACAATTTCAAACATACTGTAGGCATATAAAAATTTGGAAAAGACATAAATTTGTAGATCATTTCAATCCTCAAAGACTTTTAGGAAACTGCAAAATTTTTAGAAAATTACAATTTGAGCGAGAATTACAGCAGGATCTGCAAAAACTACTGCAAAAATTAGCACAAGCGTGAAGATTTATGTACAAAAAAAAAGAGAGGAAAATTATTGAATTTGACAAAAATTTCGAAAAATTTTTGACAATACTGTATAAGTACTGTAATTTCAACGTAAAAAAGACCCATAACGAACAAATTATCACCTTATAAGAGGTTTTGGCCTTAGGCAAATTCATTTTCAATAAATTTTTGGATTGAAAATTTAATTTGCCTGAGGGCCAAAATTCAAAAAATCTTTGCTAAACTGTGAAAATGAGAAGAAATAAGGCTTCTTCGAGCTGTTATTAGCCATGGAAGGGCAAATAAAAGTAAGAGATGCGCAAAAAAAATGAAATTTGCACAGTGCGACCGCACCGTGCAGAATTTAAATTTTTGATTGCTGCACGGTGCAAAAAATTTAAAAAAAAAATTTTAAATGCCTCAAAAAATTATATTCTTTGCCAGCTACTTCCATGGCCAACACAAACTTACTTTACACACATCTACAACAAGATATAACCCAAAGCAGCCATGAATAATGTTGTTAATGCCAAGGTTCCTGTTGTTGCCGAATTCTCCGGTTCTTTGGCTTCTTCCTTCTTTTCCGCTTTCTCCGCTGCCTTCTTGGGTTCTGGGAAAGGTTCGGGCAGATCGTAGACCCGCTCTCCGATTAAGGCTGGGTTGATGGCGCGGTTGGAGATGATCGGGTAATAAAATGAGCCGCGACTCGTGTCATGGGCGTTGATTTCTGGAACGGAGGACGTGAATTAGCCAACTTTAAAACAATGAGACCATTTTATACGACGAAACCTGCTCAGTTGGGCATTTCCAACTTTTGGTTTTTTTATCGTATAAAATGTCACCTTCCCTAAAAATGCTTTCAAAGGGTGTATAATTAACCTACCATCAGGCTGAGCGGATCCAGTGGCTCCAAAAATGTAGTATTTCGAATTTAGCGACCAAATTCTGCCATTCTTGGACTCCATCTGAGGTACAATTTGTTGGCTAAATTGACAAGAGATCCTGCCATCAACCACTTGTCCTTCCACATGACTGAAGATGATGGCATTCTCCGTCTAAACAGCGATTAATTTGCTGGTATTTTAGCACCTTACCGAGTTCAAATAGGTTCTGTCATTGGACTTTCCTTCATTATAAGATGTGAACACCTCGACTTCATTGAAAGCTCCACCTTTGGGACTCAAAACACACTCAACCACATAGTCATCTCCCTGAAAAAAAAATATCTTTATCAAAATCCAAATCTACGAGCGTATTTTACAAAAAAAAAACGCATATTTTCGACAAAAAATTATATTATTTTAGATATTCCGCCTAAAATAACATGTAAAAAACATTTAAAACGCACCATAACACTGTCATGACTGTAACCAACGGCTATGTACTGTAATTGAGGTTGTGGCATCAAGGAAGTGGCCGTCAATTGGACTGTCAGCTCATTTGGGCCGCTGACGTAGAAGATCATACCTAAAATAAGGTAAATTAACGTTTTCTTGCCAAAAATTAAAGAAAATCAAATCAAAATTAATACAAACAGCAAGACCAATCTCTGGGGAACATTTTGACATCAGTTTGTAGATTTAAAAAACAGAAAATTCATCGAAACTTTCAATTCTCCTGATATTGTTCATAATCTCCAAAAAAATCAAAAAAAATATCGAAAAAACATAAACGAACAAACCTATTGTGCAATCGACCATTGGATCACATCCAGAGGGTCGAAAGAGACAGCCTTTCGTCTCTCCGCATCCATTTCTAGTCAGCTCTATGGCCGCTTGAGCCGGGCTCAGCAGCGCCAAGGATAATATAATGGAGCACGCGCGAAACCTTTGCAACATCCTGCAAATAGTATGTAATAGTTAGAACATGGCATGTACAGTAATTTGGATAAAAAATGTGGGTAAAATACGTCATTGCGCGATACAAATATATAAAACATAAACCCTTTAAAATTTCAAACAAAATGCAAAAGTTACAGAAGCACAGACAGAGTTCAGTAAAAAAACAGACATGGTAAAGTCGGTTCAGGTAATTGGGAGCAATCAAAAATCCTTTTTTCGTCAAAAGAAAAGAAAATTCTTTCTTTTCGAACAACTTTCAGCGTATAAAATGGTAAAAGTGGTTGCAGACTGCAAAAATTGTGTAAAATTTCGTTACAGTTGTTCTTATGGGATAATTTGTAAGAGAGTAGCGAAAGAGGATCAGTAGGAACTAAAAAAAATATTTTTTTCAAAAAAATTGGAGGTATTCCGGTAGTTTTACAAGTTTCTGGAATAACATAGCGAAAAGAACTTCAATCGTTTTAAAATTGGTTTGATTAGAAATTAGGGGACCTATTCTACAAACTGGTCTTGTATTTCCTCGCAAGAAGTCTTCGTTGATGACCAAAAAAGCCAAAAATTCCCATGTATGCCAACTTTTGGATGAATGGACATTTTTTAGCGTATAACTTGTCCACAAAGAGATAAACGAGAACTTGGAGGTTACCCCATTCAACTTTACAAACTTTACAGCCGTCCTGACCCCAAAAACTCATTACCCACCGTTGCGATTCACGGTAAAATCAACAAAACGCCGAGCCGAGTCATTCCATTTTCCGTAAAATGGACGAAAACCGTTTGCGGGTCTGCAATCGAATAAACGAGAATAAATCACCCGCCCTTAGGGGGTGGTAATCGCTTTTGTTCGGAAGCAAACCGATTCCCTTTCGCGGGAAATTAGCTAAATCACCCAAACTGTTTTTTTTTTGTGGGTTTCGGCTATTGTTCCGACTGATGACTTTTTGTGGTCATGCAACGTTACGCAAATTTTGTTGTGAGAGCCAGGGAATCGTGGGGCAGAAATGGGAATTGTTTTATTATGAGAGGGTTACGGTAAAATACAGCGATCAAAAATTTAGCTGTACAGTGAGGGATCTGATCCAGTGGCAAAAAACGTATAATTTTGCATCCGGGAAGTATTAAAAATGCGGCAAAATGCTTCCCTCTCCAAGTGAAAATTGTCTCCCGCCCACATTTTTCAATTTGTCGAAATTGATCCAGTGGCAAAAAACGTATAATTTTGCATCCGGGAAGTATCAAAAATACGGCAAAATGCCTCCCTCACCAACTAAAAAACTCCGGTTTGGAAGGCTTCCTTTTCAAATCGTATTTTTTTCACTCGGAGAGGGAGGTATTTTGCCGCATTTTTGATACTTCCCGGGTGCAAAATGGGACGTGTTTGACCAATGGATCAGGTCCGCCACTGTAAAAAAGATTAATTTTACGGTGAAATTACAATGCAATGTCTGTCAACTAAGACAACATGATCTTCAATCAAAATTTCTGACATTAATACCAAGTATAATATAAAAACTCCCATAAACTTTTGCTAAATTTACTGTAACTTTCAAAAAATATTTTTTTGATATCCCTTTTACTTTCTATATTAACTAAATCCGGTAAATCTCCCCCGACTTTTCTTCTCCAAATATTATTCCCATTGCGCAATTATCGGTAAATGGTTTGGGAGAAATAAGTAATGGCGGTTCGGAACGATGTGTTCTGCTTCAGAAATCAAAAGATCCTAAAGCAAAGTGTCATTGGTTTTGGAGAGGAAGGAAAATAACAACTCAAAAGTCGCATATCAAAGGAGTAATGCGATCAGGAATTGTAGCCAAAACAACAATGATAACCCGGGGAGATTTCGAGAAGGATCGGTTTTAGAAAACCCTCACCTTTAACCACGAACGTAACAAAAAAATAGCTGACTGCGTGAAATTGAAAACAATGACGAGCTGAAAACGAAAGTCGAATCGTAAAAAGACCAAGGTTTCAAACTTGTTTCCATTGACGTTTATCCAGGTATCCAAGAGCTTTTTTTTGGTTTTTTATGTATAGTTGAGACTTTTGAGGAAGAAAAGAACAAACGAGAAGACAAAGTTGACAACATTTGATATTTACAGGGGAATTACCCCAAATGCGACGCTCAGATTTTGATGGAACTTGGCATAAATTTAGAATATTTTTTTCTAAAGCATATGCGAGAATCCTAGCTCGCGCTTTGCAGAAACCACCGAGATTGTTTGATCGAAAATTGGCGAAAATTTGACAATTTTTGCCCAATTTCGACACGAAAAGTTTCATACCTATTTCTACTGTAGAGGGTAATGTTTCCACAAAAAATCAATTTTTTCCGCGCGAAACTAGCAAAGTTATGGCCAAAAAGTGTTTTTCTCTCTGACCGCTCTCCGCGTTTAGCGTGCTCTCTCGGCGGCAAAGCTTTCAATATCTCGGCGGCGTTTGCAAAGCGCAAGCTAAAACTTTCAGGGATTGATATGTAGTTCATGGCCAACATGTGGGCAAAATTTAAAGAAAATCTGTGCGTCGCACTTGGGGTACTTCCCTTGTTAGAACAAAATACTAGCATTTTCACAAAGTGCCTGAACATTTGGTGCGTTCGCGACAAAAGTCCAAGATGCACTGTGCGAAAGCGAAAACATGTCCAGGCACTTTGTGAAAATGCTAATAGAGAGTGTGGCAAAAGCGTAGTTTCGTTCCGAAAAAGTGGATTTTTCGTGGAAAAGTTACTCTCTTCGGTAGAAATTGGCATGACACTTTGTGTGCAAAAATTCTGAGTACGTCAAGAAAAAATGCTGAAATTTTCAGCTCATGCTTTGCAGTTATTCAACGGTTTTTGCATGCGAGAGATTACAAAAAAGGAGAGAGTTGACCAGACAAAAAAACGGGTTTTTGGGCACACATATTTACGAATTTTTAACCCCGAATTTTTCCCTCTTCAACTGACCAAAATGCGCAGAATACGCATTAAAAAGCTCGCCGATATTAAAGCTACATCACACAGTTCAGAAGTTATGACATGACCGCCCATCAACCCCCGAAAGTAACCGACCGACAAAAGTGTAAAGAAAAAATATTCTAATAAAAAAAGGTTGAAAAAAAGGTCTTCGGCTAGGAAAACAACTCCGGAACACACACTAAAACAAATGAAGCTAATTAATCAGCAAAAAGAAGTAAGAGTTTTCGCGCGATGGAACAACAGTGGGGGGACCTGGAGGGAAAACGAAGGACAAACTTGGCGATTCCACTGATTTTTAGTGCAAAGATTTGGCGGCCTTTTACAAAAGCGTTGGATTGAAGAAGATTAAATTTTTAATCTTACTAACCGAACAGAAAGTTCGGCAATACCCTAAAGTATATATGTATCAGGTCAACGACACTTTGGGTCGGTTTGCTTTGTCATTGTATGCATGGTAGAGGCTAGGAAAAGGCTTAAGTAATCGAAATAATAAGACTGATCAGGTCTTCAATCAGCTTATGACTTTTTTTGAGGTAATTTACATCTGGTTACACCTATAATATCCACAAACAACTGACGGGTAAAATCGTCAGTTGTTCCGGATCTATGCTTTTTGTAGTATCGTTGCGTATTTTCTGAGCGACAATAGCTCAAACTCAAGAAAACAATGGTTATCACAGCTAAAATTAACAAAGGAAGTACCCCAAGTGCGACGCTCAGATTTTCTTTAAATTCTGCACGCACATTGTACATCAACTAGATATCAATTCCTGAAAGTTTCAGCTCGCGCTTTGCAAGCGCCACCGAGATATTGAACGATTTTTACCGCCGAAAGAGCACACTAAACGTGGAGAGCGGTCAGAGAGAAAAACTCCTTTTTGGCCACAACTTCGCTAGTTTCGCGCGGAAAAGGTTATTTTTTTTGTGGAAACATTACCATTTACAGTAGAAATAGATACGAAACTTTTTGTGCCGAAATTCGGCAAAAATTGTCAAATTTTCGCCAACTTTTGACCTAAAAATCTCAGTTGTTTCTGCAGAGCGCGAGCTAGAATTTTTGCATATATTTTAGAAAAAATTATTCTAAATTTGTGCCAAGTTTCATCAAAATCTGAGCGTCGCATTTGGGGTACTTCCCCTGTAAAATTAAATAGAAAAAGAGATCATATTGTAAGTCCGCCAAGTCTCCGCCGAGCATTCGCCAAAGGCCCGGAAAGCCTTCAACTGTTTCGACAAGGCTCATAGGCCCCTCTTTCGGCCTTCTTCTGGGCCTCTGCCGCTCTGCTTTGCGCATGCATCGCTTTTACGTTGACGAAAAATTCATCTCCAAACAGAGTAACAGGGACCCATGGTTCGGTCGAAAAGTCAATTTAAACTCGGTTCAAATCAATTACCACCCCAAAATAATTAATCGTATTTAACTAATCAGCCAACGCTTAATAGTGTGTTTGGGTGGCGGCAAATAAAGACATATATAAATTGTCAATTTCCGAAAGTTTTTTGTGAAAGAAAATAGTGTAATAGATAGGAATCGCGGTACAAAAGTGAGAAAACACTACATATTCGAAAAAATTCCGAGAAGAAACCCCGGTTTCTTCGCGGCTGATTTATTGTTCTCACTTTTGATGTTGAAGGTGGAAATTCTACTGCATTGGGCAACGGGAATTTCTCATTTTTCTGCCTTGTGCACTCATCTAAAATCTTTTAATTTCCAATTAAAAAAACAGTACTCAAAAAATGCTGTAAACATCAACAAAGATCGCAAAAAAGGCATCTCCAACTTTCAATAACTCAATTAAATATTTTTTACAATTCATGACAGACGTTGTCAAGTTTTTTAGAAGTGTTTTTCATTACTAACCGAACACCAAAAACAACGTAATTGACGTAATTTTCGCTTAATTCTGTCGAAAAATGCGATTACAGTACACTATGCGGTGAGCGCTCGGAAAAATCAAAAATAAAAAGGGCAATGTAATCTTAAATTAATTAAAATCGATTTGCAAGCACTGTAGAAACGAGATTAAAATACGCTAGAGAG